CAGTCGCCGTATTTTCACGGTAGTCGTAAAAGGCGAACGTTTACGGTCATTGTTTACGATTAACGTAATACGCCGTAAAGCGTCGTATATGACTGCCGTAAACAGCCACTGTAAACGAATGGCGTTTTTCAACGTAAATGATTGGTGTACGGCCGGGCAGGAACGACCTGGGTGGCTATTTATATGGTGTCAGTCCACCAGATAATCCTCAAGTTAAAGAAATTCGTTGTGTTGTTTTACCACCGCAATGGGGTACACATGAAACCGTTCATTTACCCAATATATTACCGGAACATGAATCTTTTAAGGTAAGATAATGAAAATATCCGATGAGTGTTTCTAAGACACCAACAGTTATAACTTCTCCGCCGATTGTATCTAAGAAAAAAAGTTTCTTGTATTTTCGATCATTACTACAGTATAACATTTATTTTATTAAATAGGATATGGAACCACTTGGATGGATTCATACTCAACCGAATGAATTACCACAATTATCACCGCAAGATATCACAACACACGCTAAAATAATGAATGATCATGCATCATGGAATGGAGAAAAAACAATTGTTATAACGTGTTCATTTACATCGGGTTCAGCTTCATTGAAAGCACATAAATTAACACCAACTGGCTATGATTGGGGTCGATCAAATACTGACCGTGGAAATAATCCGAAAGGTTTCTTTTTTTTTTTAAATGTATATATTGTTTATTATTCTTTTTAAGGATATGCACCGTCGCACTATGAAAAAGTTCAATTGGTAGTATCTGATCGTTTCTTGGGATTCTTCATGATACCAGAACAAGGTTCATGGAATTATAATTTCACGGCGAGTAGAAATTATTTTATCATTTGTTTTGAAACAATAATTTGTCGTTTTTAGGATGTTCGTCATGATGTAGATATGAAATACGATTTAATTTTATCAGATCCAAAAGAATTTTATCATGAAATTCATCGTCCATCGCATTTCATGAACTTTTCGAATGAAGAAAATTAGGACATATTTTCAGCTGATCGTGAAGATCGATTTAGTTGAAAACACATAGATCCGGTTATTGATTATTGTATAATCTGGCTTTTTTTGTTTTTGTTTGTTTGTTTGTTGTCTTGCTCTTGTTCTTTTCTCTGTGAGAAAATAAATTATAATGAGACTTATTAAATAAGTGTGATCATCGAGAATGATTTGAAAGAGTTTGTTTTTTCTTCTTGTATTGTAGATTTAATCGTTTTGAATAAGAAGAAAAAAGATCATGAGTGAACAAATGGATGCAAGTAACAATAATGAGGGTGTGGGTGTGGATGTCACTACTATTCTTGTCCACCCAAACTCACACCCTATTATGAAATTAGCTGAAACAGCACTCAACGTACTTTTCGAACAGTTTCAAGAAAGGTTTGTTTAGCATTAACAAATATTTTTACATTGAACGTATCTTTATTTTCTAAAGATCTCATGAAACTATTCGATCTGAACTTGCTCATTGTGTTGGATTAATAGGCTATGTTATGTTAAATGAAGGCGAACCAAAGTAGAATATTATCATATTGTTTTCACTATATCTTTTTGAAAGATTTGCTGAATGGATTTTTGAATATTTAAATGAAGTACGAAAAAGTGATGTTCAAAGACAATTACTTATCAATGCATTTCGTCATAGTATTCAAAATGAAGATGAAATGTTATGTTTAACTAATTCTATTCAACAGATAAGTGAACAATTAAAGAAAATTCTTGAATCAATTGTTCATGCACCATTAATGATTGCTGCTATTACGGATACAATTATTGATCTTTCAAGAATCTATCCTCAAATATTTCAAGACATTTTTGTTGTATGTAAATTGTAAAAGAAATAGAATTATATAGAAATTTATCTTGTTTTGAAGGATATTGTCGATATTCTTATTGGTTGGTATATAGAACCATTACCAACTGATCGTATTCTTGAATATATATCGCAAGCATTACATAAATTTCGTCCATTTTGGGTTGAACAAATCGAAGCCACAACATTAACTTTATTAGATAATTTTATTGAAGATGCTGATAATTATGCTCAAGTAAATAAATGCAAAACAAAAAGAACGAACAAACGCTTTTAGATAAATAGAAATTAATATTTTCTTTCCTTTTTCTTTTCCCAGCAATTCGAACTGCATGGTAACGATGATGATGATGATATTGGTGCATTTACAGACAAAATTGCTGCTTTATACAGGTTAAAAAGTATATATTGAATCATAGAGCGTTTCTCCGAAAGAGATCTTCTTGGTTTGTTTTGTTAATAAGAATGAAAAATAAAACGATTTCAGATGATATTGCTAATTCTTTTTAGCGAAACATTTTTCTATGTACAGCATAATCAATTTAATTTTATGTATTTTCCTTTCAGAGCTTTGACTACTGTTCTTCGTGCACTTTCCGATAATTTTTCTTCAACACTTAATTTACTACCCATCGATCATGTTGATAATTGGTTACAAAGCATTTTTACATATAACAACTATAATGAGACAAGATAAATTATTTGGTATTTTAGCTAAACATGCTAATACAGCTGTTTGTATTTTATTAGAAGTATTTTCACAATTTGATGAACAACTTTAAAATGATATATTTGATTTTATTATTCAACAAACTCGTCTTCATACACAAAATTGGCCATATGAAGCAGATGTTAATTTTCTTCGTTTAATTATGAAAGTTGTTGATTTATCTGATCATGATTCATGTGCAAAATTAGCTAGTTCAATATTTGCAGTAAATTCACGTTTATGACTTTATCGATTTTTATATTCAAATTCGGTAAATCATTTATTATTATTACCTCTCTTGTTTGTAGAATCTTCTTCTTTATTTCAATAGCTTATTCAAGATGTTTTACAATTGTTTAATCGTCTTTTAACAATTAAAAGTATACCAGTAGTTCAACAAGTTTATCAGGCTATTTTAGCTGATATGACATCAAATTTTAATGTACTTTTAAATGTTCTTGAACAAAAAACAATTGTTATTGGTAGTGGATCAGTACGTCAATTAACAAATTAAAAATTAGCTCGACAATATCCAGCTGTTGATTATGGTGTACTTAAAACACTTTATTCACATTGTGCAGCGTTAGTAATTAGTTTAAGATGAATTTTTTCTGATTATTTTAGACATGAACATTTGATTCATAATTCAGATTTATTTAAACAAAATGATACAAATAATACGATGAGTTTAACGAAAGATAACTTTGAAGATTTACTTAAACTTCTTCATCGTCTTATTGTTAATAGTCATCTTAGTTGTCATGATACAAAGTACGAGAGTTAATAAATAAAGAAATGAAATGAAGGAATGCGTTTTCTGTTGTGTTATTTAGAAAATTAGTATTAAATTGACTTGCTGAAATTATTGATGCACTACCATAAGAAGATAATGGATTACTTACTTTACCATTTTTACTCAAACTATCGCATGCTATCATTGATATAGGTAAAAAAAGAAACAAATTAGCGTGGAGTTATCTCGAATAGAACTACGATAGTTTGCAGGTGACTTCAAAGGAATATGATGTCCAGAGTTTCTACTGTAGTAGTACGTTCTTTCTAACGGTATGGATGATCGCTCTGAGTATTATTACTGCTGTCAATTTCCGAAGAGTCTTGTGGTTAGAGAATCATAAACCTAGAGAAAACCTTTATTCCACCTTAAATCTAATCTTTCTAAATAATTATTTAGTCTATTCGGGTGAAGAAAAAATCTGTAATTTATGCTGTCGATTATTAAATAAAATTGTTAAACGACAACGTGATCTTGATATATCATTCTTAGTTCGGTAAGATTAATTGATAAAGAGTTTTATTCTCTAAACATAAATTGATTTATTTTAGTTTATTTGATTTATGTCGATTCTGATTACAATCAAATGAAACATCAATTCATGATAGTTATTATGCTATTCTATGTTGTTTATCTGTTAATATTCTAATCAGATTTGTAAGAAATCAAATCAATGAACGAATCAAGAATTTTTGTTTTTCTCTAGTAAATTTCCGACACATGGTAAATTATTATCATCGAAAAATGATTATTCTGGTTTTGCTAGTATCTTTAAACGAAATCACATGAATTCTCCATACTTAGGGACATTTACAACGCATTGTTTGAATTTAATATTAGGTTATATACTTGTTAATCATCAAATGTCGTATGTTTTACTTTTATTTTAAATTATTATTTCTATTAGACGAATGTATGCAACTACATGGCTTGAACGTTTATTTCAATCATGTCAACGTCAAAGTAATAATGAATCTTCTAAAGATGAACATTTATCTGAAGATCAACATCGTTTATTAAGTTATGAACAGTTACCAAATTTTGGAAATGATGCATTGGTTTGATTTATTGAAAATTTATACATAGCTTTAAAACTTCCTTTTTTGTTTTTTGCCATCAATCATAGATCTGATTTTGGGCTACATGGGAATGTGCACAATTTTTTGTTATGAATAAATTGAAAATACCACTTGGCAAGCCAAAAGTTAGCACTCGAAGGTGATATAGACAGTTCATTTTAGGTTTTGTGATGTTAATTATTGGTCTTCAGCTTATTTGAGTGAGGAATATTCAGAAAAATGTATATTGTAATATTTATATCAGGTTTACATGAAAAAAATCATACTTGACAGAATGAATTATTGAATTTCGTAAATAACGAAAAACATAATTTTATTATTTAGAAACCTTACGATTTTTTGCTTGGTCAATTGATAACAATACGAAAAAAGTAGAAGCACCTTCGTCAGAACAAACAAATGGTTCTTCAACATCATCATCATCCGGTGAAGTAAATGTTTCAACAGATAAAGGTGATTGGTGGTGTGATTTACATCGTTGTGGTCTTTTATTACAATTAATTGTAGCACTTGAAAAGTGTATGCACAGTGCATATGAAGACGCTGCTCTTTTACTTCCGCAATTACCTAAAGTAAATTTTATTTTTTAGACTGTGAAGTTTTTCTGTATCACAAATAAATCTACATGTTGCGAATGGCTTAATCGTATTCGTATTCCAATTATTCTAACTGCTTTACGAAGTGGTCAATATGAATCAGCTGCACGAAATTTTAATCAATATTTATTGCATACTTGTTCATTAGGTCAAGCTGAGGTAAAAATATGTTTAATTAAATATTCTATTTTTTGATCTGTTCTATTACAAAAGGCATCGAAATTCGAATTTGTAATAATATCATTTGTTCAATCACTTATTAAACTTCATAATAGTATGGCTATTCATGGAATTTATGTATGGTTAAAAAATATTCATCAACTTGATTGGTCATGGATACAAGTTTGTGAACATGAAGCTGCTGGAAATCTTGAACAAGCAGCTTATGAATATAAATTATTATTAAATGAACATTTTAAAAGTCTATTAATGATTAATGAAAAAACAGAAGATAAAATATCAGGTGGACTTGTAAAGTTTCTCATTCAAAAAGTAAATTGAAATAAAAATTTAATGGAAAACGAAATAATATATTTATTTTTAAATAGGTTTATGATTGTTATTTAAGTCTTCATCAATGGCCTGAATTAATTGCATGGAATGATACACATATTAAAATGCAAATGGCATTTTTACAAGATGATAATGAAGATTTACGTACAGCTATGGAAACAACAATTGATATTAATGCTATTCGGTAGCAAAAATCAACTTTTCCTTTTCGAAAAAAAAACAATTAATTTTTTTTTAGAGCTATGAGTTGTTTTGAAAATCGAGATTTTGAAGGTTTAAAAGTTTCTATGAGAAAAATGCCAAATTCACAAGCAACTGGAGAAGAACTTGGTCGAAGTATATCATGTGGTTGGGATATGGAAGCATTTGATATGTTAGCAACTGTTGAAACATTAAAAGGAGTATCAAAACGAAGGTAATACAATAAATCATTTTTATTTGGCTTTAGTTTTATTTATTTGTTTTTTTGAAGATCGGGTCTTTGGTCACTTAATGCAATACTACAATTAACACGAATTCATAATGTTGATGAACATGCATCATGGTCCGAAGAATGAGCAGCTATTAGTCAAGTGGCTGCTTTATATCAAAGTGAAGTAAGGCTAAAATTCAAAAATTGAATTTTATTTTTGTGATGATTCTTTTCTTTCTAATTTAAGAATCGTAAAGTTCCACTTTTACCGGGTCAAAAGTTTGCACCTGTTCAACATAGTGTACGAGCATTGAATTATATTCTTCTTTACAGTCAACTAAGTTCTAATAATCAAAGTAAATAGATTCTATTATTCTACAAAATGTACCAATGTTTTAAAGATAGATATAGAAATAGTCATATCTATAAGAAATACAAGGGCTCTCTAATATAACACTCAAGTCCTATTTTATGAGAAACTGAACCATTTGTAGCTGTTGTTCTTGCATATCTATAGGTGCATCAGCAATAATAAATTCTAATTGAACTGCACTTCGAATGGGTGCAGCACGATTAGCTCATCAACAAAATAATTTTACATTATCATCAAAATTACTTATTCAACAATTTCAATCAACTCATACATGGTCAACCGGTCGCCAACACCACAATCTAGTAATACTTCTTTAGGATCTCCGCTTCATTCATACCATTGAACTTGAAACTGAAAAAGGAAAATTAATGCATGATCTATCATTAAATAAAGCAAATAATATAAATATAACAATTGCTATTGAATTTCTTTCACGTTCTATATTACTTTCATTTAATTAATGAAAATCAACCTAATTCTCAATATAATAATCAACATTCATTAATTAATATTGAAAAATGTTCAAGAAATTTATGATATATTGCTAAATGGTCACGTACTGCAATTGAAAGTAATCATGAAGCAACAACAAATAATGTTATGTGAGTTCGGCAAATTATGTCAATTACGAAAACAATATATTATTACAGGATTGGGTGTTGATATTGCTGGAGGTTTGTTTATATGAATAGATTCATTTGCAACGAAAACAACTAAGTCATATGTTTTTGTTTTTGTTTTAGAACCTTTCGTTCGAAAAAATATTCCTCTTGATGAATTATTAATTGGAGAATTATTAGATTTTTCAACATTAACACGTCCAAATTTAGCTAAATCATGGTTTAGATTTGCTGATTGGGCTTATCTTTGGGGACGACAATTACTTGCTCTATCTATACCATATGTAGCTCATTGATTGAAAGTTTTTTTCAAAATTTTTCTTGTTTCTATTAGATTATCTTCATTGAATCTTGAACAACAAGTTCGTTCAATTCTTCCATCGGTTTGTTCATTTTATTTTATTTTATTTTCAAATGATAATCATTGATTTGCTTTTTCTTTTTTTTCTTTAGGAAGTTTCATCCGACGAATTAACGGAAATATCTCGTATTCTATCTTCAATTCGAATTTTAAATGATGATGATTCTGAACTTGTAATATTCTTTGAAAAAGAAAAGATTAGTTCGAAATTTTTTTATTTTAGACGGCTTCTGAATTATCTTCACTGCATTCCTATCGTACAGATTTATCACGTGCTTGTTCATTACCCACACCCACATCCACAATATGATTTACGTCGTTATTTTCTTGTAGAACAATCATGTCGTGCTTATTTTACATATTTACAATTAAGTAATACAAATACGTATAAAAAAAAATAATGATACATTCAATGTTCTTGTTACATTACATTTATTACATGTACTTGTACGTTATCCTCAACAATTACGTACTAACGGGTGGGCCGTAATGAGTGGCCGCGCTTTTGTTTGCTATCTTTGAGGTACTTAAAAATGGTTTTAAAATCTGGTTTTGAGCTCATTCGATAGAGAATTCATTGTTCTACAAAAGTAGCGACTTTGTTTTTCAAATAAGATTTTCTTGTCGGAGTAAAATTTAAAAGGTCAACACCTGCTCAATCATTCATTTGCGCGGTCAAAGAAACGAAAAAAACGATGGAAATTTTTAAATAACGCTTCCGCTGAAGTATCAGCTATGGTAAAATATTCCGTACAAAATTCTGCATCTTTTGATGTCCTTCTCAAAATTTTGCAGTAAATCTTTGGCTGAAAAAGTTTCGAAATAGAAAATGTCAAAACGTGGAAAAAGGCCCTTTTTGGACAGAGTCATGCAATTGTTATCTTTTAATTCGAAGCAGTCTAAACATTTCAGCTATCCAAGTTAACATTCACACCACTTTGTTCAGAATTGAATTCTGCGTCCTACGGCATGTCAATCAACATTTTGTAGGACAAGCCTGACTTTGGAAAACATTATTTTCCTTAATGCACAAAAAAATACTACCGGGCGTTCGTTCGAAGCCTTATTCTACTGAACAACAGTACCAAGAACCTTGGAAAAGTCGTGGAAGCATAGAGCACAAAATTCTCTATCTTTTGATGCAAAATACTTTTCTTTTTGTATCGGTCTGGACGAGCACAGGCTCACACAAATCGTTTGATATCTGCAAAAACTTTAACCGCGCAGAGGGATGATTGATTAGGTGTTGATCTTTTAAACTTTACTCCGATAAGAAAGTCTTACTTGAAAAATAGAGTTGCTACTTTTGTAGAGCAATGAATTCTCTATTGAATGAGCTCAGAACCAGATTTTAAAACCATTTTTAAGTACCTCAAAGATAGCAAACAAAAGCGCGGCCATTCGTTATGACCCACCCGTTATATTTGAAACTAATCTTCTTAATTCACCAACTGTTGCATGGAAACGTCTTATACCACAATTATTCTCTCATTTAAATCATCCTGATAGTTCTGTGAGAGATTATCTTACTAATTTATTGATACGTATAGCAAAAGATTTTCCACAATTAATTCTCTATTCAGTTGTTGTTGGAATAACGGATGATTCAAAAATGAGACGAATAAAATCAAGAGATGATAATATTTATCAGAGAAAATCTGCCAGTACACATGAATCAGAAGATGAAAAATCAGAAAATGATATCGATGAAGATGATGAAGAAGAAGATGACATTGAAAAACAAGAAAATGCTGTCGCTATGCAAAATAGTTTTCGATTAATTTATGATGTACTTTCGGAAACAAATTCACATCTTGTTGGACAAGTTAAATTATTTATACACGAATTACGACGTGTTACTGTTCTATGGAATGAACTTTGATTAGGAACAATGGTACAACTTCAGGAAGAAATTAGTCGGTTAGTTTCAAAGAAAGTTTTAGAAGACGATTAATCAAGGGGGAAAAACTGATCGGCATTCGCATCCATTCAGTGTTTGCCTGTTTCCGGGTCAAGGACTAAAGAAAAGACCCAAAGGCCCTCGGTTAACGTTCTACCGCTAGGAACGGAAGAAAACTACACTAACATTTTCAGCCATTCGAGTGGTTCGAAATCAGTTTTTTCCCCCTTGCGATTAATGTTTCATCAGATTATGTTATTAGCTAGGCGAAGTTTCTCAACTGATTAATTACTACTGAGAGTTGAAATTATGCCTAGAGAAAGTTCCCATTCTTTTGATTTAATTTTATCTTGAAATAAGAACATAGAATCTACCGATTTATATGACCTCTCATAATAAACTATTTTCAACAAAATTTACCTCTCTGTATAGATTTTTAATACAATAATCTGAGAGTCTGCACTCAGTTGAATCTGAAATAAATCATGCATTTCTATCTGTAAGGATTTTACTGACATAATGACTCGTGTAATAATTGAAATTCTATACATTAGAACATTTAATTGATACGTTTTATTTTATTTAGACGTGCTGATGTCCTTAAAGATGAATTTCAACGTCTTGAATCTATGACACATTTAACAAAGGAAGAAAAAGAATTTCTAATTAAAGAAAAACAAGATGTTTTATTCAAATCTGTAAGTTTTTATAGTTGATCCTAACTAATTTTATTCTATTCAGTTTATTACTTTTCTTGAAGCAGTTAGTCAAATAACTCGTGCATCTGCTGAAACACCACGTGAACAAACCTTTGAAAAAGACTATAGTAAACAAATTGATGCAGCAATTGAACAACTAAAACAACCTATTACATTATCTAATCCACACTCGTGTCGGGTATAACTTCGACAGGTAAAATAAATTTTGAATTAATACTCTTAAAGTTTTTTAATTTCATTTTACTTAACATTTAATCATATTAGCTTTATTCAATGTTACATCGTACTGGTAAACGATCAGGGACAATTCATTCTATGAATCAAATAAGTCCAAAATTAGCAGAAATAAAACATAGTGTTATACCAATTCCAGGCGAAGATGGACACGTTTGAAAATTTCTTCATTAAAGCTGTAAATCTATATATATATATATAACCAATGGTCATCGATATCAATATTTGCTCAAAGATCTTGAAGATGTTCATCTAGATGAACGTATTATGCAATTATTATCGATAATAAATGTTATGTTTACTAAAATTAATCGTAATGAACCATGGTCATATGAAGCTTGAAATTCTACTGTTATACCGCTTGCATCAAGAAATGGTTTAATACAATGAATTGAAGGTGCAACACCATTATTTACACTTTATAAACGATGGCAACAACGACAAGCAACAGCACTAACTTGGAAAGCTCAAGTATGTTTAAAATTTATATTTTAAAACTAAAAGTTGTTTTGAATATTTTTCTTTATCAAGAATGATAATCAAGAAATTGCTTTAACTACAGTACCAAAACCAAATGATGTCTATTATTCAAAATTAAATGCTATATTAAAAGAAAAAGTAAAACAAACTGGAGTTTTATCGATTATCTATTCGATAAATTTTTATATGTTTAGGGTAAACAACCTGTAGAAGATCGACGTGGAGTACCAATGCCAATATTACGTCAATGTACTGAAGAATTAATACGTGAAACACCAGCAGATCTTTTGTCAAGATGAGATTTAGCATTTTTAATTAGACCTACGACAGCTCTCAGTTCTTGGAACCGATTCTTTTCAAAGAACTGTACCCAATACATAGTTCCTTTTCTGGAACTGTCTCCACATAACAGTTCTTTTTCGAGAACCATATCCTCCCAACAGTTCCTTTTCGGGAACCATATCCTCCGAACAGTTCTTTTTCGGGAACTGTTTCCACAAAACAGTTCTTTTTCGAGAACTGCTTTCACAGAACAGTTCTTCTTCAGGAACTGTGGCATAACAAACAGTTCCTTATCGAGAACTGTTGCAGCCCTGCCCATATAGATGATCACGGTGCTGTTTTACACAGATCAGTTCCGATCAAAGAACTGTTCAGACAGTTCAGTTCCGATCAAAGAACTTGTGAGACAGTTCCGAAGATCAGAACTAATATGGAACTGTCGTAGGTCTATTTTTAATTATCGTTCTATTTTTGTTTGTTATTTTTAGGGAACTTTGGTGTAGTTGTCCAAGTGTTGGTTTATGGTAAAAAATGTTCAAAACTACAGGTATGCATTTTGTTTTGTAATAATCTTTTTCATTAAACGATTAATCGATACACTTATGATTCTTCAATATTTGTCTTTTAAGAGAAAAGTCGATATGAAATGATCTTTAAAGCTGCTGTTGTTAATTCGATGGAGATTATTTTACTAAGTCTTTCAGAAACACAGCTTGATGATTTAGGGTATAAACGTCTCGAATGGTATAAAATTGGCCGAAAGAAAAAACGTCGAAAGTTAGAAACACCGAAAGAAAAAATGTCGAAAATGTTATAGATAGAGTTTAAACCCAGCTTTTCACCAATCGTATATGGATAATCTGTAGGACTATGCATCGGTTGTACTTTTAAATGGATAGTGGATGTTCAAACTCGATCTAGAGCACTTTCGATATTTATAGTTTCGACATTTTTTACTTTCGATGTTTTTTCTTTCGGTCAATTCTATAAATACCAACGTCTCAATGCATCTGATATTTTTTTAGTCTCATGAGAATATTTCCAAATTTCATCATCGATAGTTAAAATTATTGATTATCCTCGTTCATTAGCTGTAACATCCATGCTTGGATATATGATTGGTCTTGTTGATTTGAAATCTGGACAAGTAAAAAGAGAAAGATTTTTTCTTAGAAAAACAAAAACCCATTTAAATCGAATTTTATTTTCTCTAGATAATTCATATTGATTATAATATTTGTTTTGAAAAAGGTAAAAAATTACGTGTACCAGAAAAAGTTCCATATCGTTTAACCCAAAATTTACAAAATGCACTTGGTATTGCTGAACTTGAAGGTGTTTTTCACTATCATCAGAAAATGTTCTTAAAATATTACGTAATGGAAAATAAATTTTACTTAATTTACTTGAATCATTCATCTATGATCCTTTAATTGATTGGACTGGTCATGATATACCGGTGTACTTGCTACATTTTATGGTGATCAAAATAATTTATATGAACAAGTAGCAGTTAAAAAACGTCAAGTTGAAAAAGATGCTTTATTACGAATGTTTTAACTTCGTCAAATTGAAATACTACAGAATTGGATTACGCTAGGGTAAATAATTAAAATGAAAGTTTTTTTTCATATAATGTATTAGAAAAAAAAATTTTAGGAATCAATTAATCGTACTATGAATAAATTAATTCAACGTGTTAATGATATAAATGAGTTAGAAAAAAATATCAATGAATATGATATAAAAATGAATATTATGGAAAGACGTTTAGATTATTTTAAAACGGCATTAGAGAGTTCGTCAACAAATCATTCCTTATTTTCATTACTGGATAGGTAAAATATTTTAATTTAGACGAAAAAAATACAAACAATTCGAACCGATATGAATACAGCAAAAGATTTAGTTTTAACATTTTATCAAAATCTTGAAAATATCTTAATAAATAGCACTGGATGTAATACATTATTAGTATTTTTCATTTCGTTTTTATTGTTTTTTTAGGAAGCACATATCGACTTAAAATCAAATATATTCTATGATAAACTTTACGATTTCGTTGAAAATGATAATGTTTTAATTAGTACATCACCTGTTGTACTTGCTGCAGATTTTCTTCAAACAGCCTGCAAAACAACACTTCTTCATCAAGTATGAAATATTATTTAATATATCGAGACCAAAAAAATGTGGTCTTGCATATGTCTAGTGAGAGCAAAAAAGGCGTAAAAAAATATCTGAAAAATTCAAAAGAAAGTACGCTCGCTAAGACATATCTCTGTGCAAAATATTCATTGCTTATTTCGATCTATATTCATTCTGTTTCACAATTAAATAATAATTTATTTTGTTTTTGGTAGAGTGAACAATTGGATGATGAATTACGAAATACTTTAAAAGTTTATCGAACAGCACGACAACAAACAGTTACCAATATTTTAAAAAATCTTGTTGATCTATGTCAATATTTACCTATTGATTATATTGAATCATCATTATTAACAAAACTAAAAGATCGTTTAAGTGAACTTTGTAATAATTTTACAACAGAAAAGTTTTTCTCTCATGCATACTTTAATCTATTAAAATAGATGTCAACAATTTTTAAATCATATTGATACATATTTCTTAATTGATGAAACATCGTCATCATGATCAGAATTAACAAGTCGAGTATTATCGATTGAAAATCAATTTAATGAATATATTCAAACTAGAAATCAAGAAATCACTAAAGTAAAATATATAAATAACCTTATTTTTGAAAAATCTATTTCTTATAGGTATCTGAATTGCAAATTATCGTACATGTACTTGTTTATCTTATTTGTTAGATGACCGGTTTCGTTGTCATCTGTTAACAGCCATATGAACTGATAGCTAACTCAGATGACTACTATGTCAGATGGTTAACAACTTAGATGTAGCTAATCAATGAGTTAATTGATTACAATTAACTTCTATATCAAGAATGAATCATAATAATGATAGGCACAACTTGAATCGTAGTGCATAAACTGAATAATACGATATTAGAGAAATGCAATGTGAAAGTAAGGTCATACTAAATGGAAAAGATTTGTTTTTAGTATAGTTTAATTGTATTTAATGTATTTTTTCTATTTCCACCACTAGTTAAAAGATGATAAAGTACATGATAATTGATTCTATGCAAAAAAAAACATCTCACTGTTACTACTGATACAATAGTTTATGTTTGCTTAGAAATATTCGTAAAAAAAAGAAATATAAATCAAAAAACTAACTTATCTACGTATTGCGATGAATTCATTCTGAACTAATCCTTCTTCTATCATAGCAAAACATTTTTTTTTATAGATGGCAACAAGATAAGAAATCAAAATTTTCTAGTACAAGTTTTATTACGAATAGAAGCTTGTATAGGATTACATTTAAATTTCCCAAAGTGAATCTTGAAAAACAAAAACAGAACAAGTTTTTCTATTGAAGAATAATGTTGATATTGATTTAGAAATATATAATGAACGGAGAAACACTTGTTTTTATTCAGTTAATTACTTTCGTATGTCAATGTAAAATTTGATGGAAATGAATGGTAGTGTCAGTTCGTATAACAAGTATATTTGAACCGAATAAAACAGCATTGTAAGGTGATTTATCATATGTCAATTTTCCTTCCAGTTTTCCATCTTCAACAACATGAAACAGTTGCGATGCATTTGCGTCAACAACGAGCCATTCATTATTTTTAAGTGGACAACAACGAATAGGTAGATAATATGATAAATTTCTCATGTCCAAACGAATGGAAAACAGTTGATTAAAGTTTGCTAAAGATCGAACTATTAAATGTGCTATGCTATCTGAGAAAATAGCAACTATCAAAGCAAGTTTTTCATTATTACAAGCAATATCTTTGATAAATTCAGCTTTGTTACAAGTTATTGGAGGATCCCATCGTCTTCTATAATATAATGACGGCAACAAAGAAAATTCAATGACGGCATTGCTAAGCGATGCTAGATAAAGTAACGAATTAGAGCATGTACATGACATCCATAAATGATTTTGCATTTCTTCAATACTATCAATTGATAAATCATTTCCATTAACTAAAAATGCTTTACTCTTTTCTGTTATCACTATAAAACTAGCTAATGCCGATGACCAACATATATCATGAATGGCACCATAGTTCCATATAGATTGTTTAATTATGGTCAAATTTTTATCAAATAAACATAGATCATGATTTAAATCAATTAATAAAAATTCATCGTTACTAGCCAGTGCGAATCCCGAATTTTCAGAAAAATTACATGTTTGATAAGGCGATAAAAGTGTTTTTAGGTCAAATCCTTGTATTTTTATTTCTCCAATACTAATTAAACTATTGTCGATTGATAAAGCGCGAGTATTAATTGGAATAAGTTTGTGTTCGATGTCGTTTATTTTTTGTTTAACATCAACAATCATTGATTGTAATTCATTGATGCTGTCTTGTTGAATTTTGTCTTGCTTTTCATTAATTTCACTTAATTTCTTATACAATTGATCAATTTCTTTTTTTTGTTGACGAATCCGTTCAGCATAATATCGATCAAGTTCTTCACATTTATTTTCATAAAAACGATGAACTTTTTTGAGACTATTATCTCGCCATTTGTCCAATTTTAGACGACTTTCATTGACTAATTTTTCAATGTCCAATCTGTTGAGTTGATCATTTAATATATTAATCTGATCAGTTAAAGAATTCGGTTGATCATTATTTAAGCTATAATGATTTGATAGATGATTTAAACAAAGATTTTTATTGCAACAATAACATAAAACGCGTGATATTTCTTTGCACGATACACCAGCACATGATTGAGACATTATGTTCATGAAAAACACGTAGAAATTAATAATAATCTATACTGATAACTCGATGGAAAATGTTTTTTAAAAAAATAACTATTTTACATTTTACATAGTCTTTCTATTTATTTTTTAGAAAAGAAGGAAAGAGAATAAAATCTCCTTTTTTAAATCTGCGATAAAAAATCACGTCAATGGAAAAAATTATAGCGAGAATGTTTTAAGCAATGTAAATATATATATATATATAAATTGTAACGAAAAAGCAAATATTTAGAAATCTGATGATCACAATAACAAAAAATGTTGTATCAGAGAAACGACATTGACCAGAAAATACATGAAGAGACATGACTTCAGTATAAATAAACACGAATAAATTTTATTTAACAATTTGAAATCTGATGAAAGTTTTCTTCCATATGTGTTACTACTCACTAGCTTTCATTAATATGAATCAAATCTGTGCTGTGATTAACTAGAGAAAAAATATGCAACATTTTATAAAACGTGACGAAATACACGATGAAATAATTTTTCAATCTGAATTAGTTACAAGTGTAGATAATTATCTTTGTAGATAGTCAATATCTTGATAATTGAACATTTGTGTTAAGAGAGTAAACTTAAAAGAAAGCTTTCTAGTAAAAAACGTTTTAGTGTAATTTCAATGAAATAAAAATGTGAAATATATGATATAGTGACTGTAGTTTATTACGAAGAGTTTGTTTTATTCTATTTGACATGGCCTACAAGACAGATTTTTATATCACATTGAATAAATGTCGAGTGCCTCGTTTTGGTTGGATTTCAAAAACAAAGTTTGCATATTCTTATTCTTTTTAGGTTTCATTGAACTCAATTCTGCTAAACACTGAAAGACTTCTGAAAATAAACTATTTTTCTGTTTTAAAAATCGGATCAGTAAAACGAAGGTTTTCTATTTAAGGAAAATTATTATGATTATTATCGACTATAATTCAAACAGCGGAGACAAGTAAATTAAATTTATAACTAGTCGACTTTCATGAAATATTATGAAAAATTAAAAAACGAAAATACGGTTTGTTGATCAGTATTTTATACATTATATTTCTCTTGAGAAAATAAAACAAGAAGCGGCTAGAAATTTATTAGGAGAAAAGAAAGCAAGAACAATATCCATGGTTTATAATTTATGAAAATGAACACTGTTTTTAGTCCGTATAGCAATTATGTTGGAACCAAACAAAACGGAATTCCAAGGTGCCGGATTACATGATGATACAGCTCTGATTAAACCATCTTTTCTCACGTGAAATAATTGTGAAGTATTGTTATCAACAAGCAACCATTCATCACATTTTAATGCAGAACAACGTATCAATGGCTGGCCAATTGTATGTGAAACATTAAGTTCAAGTGACCAGAGTCGATCGAGTGTTATTGATGAGCGTAATTCTAAATGTACCAAATTAGTTGAACCATGTGAAATAACAAGAGCCAGTGTTTTGTTTTTGTATTCAGTGTTAAGTATAATTTCATAGTGTTTGCATGAATGTGGAGGTTTCCATCGCTTTATTAATTCGAATGCTGATAATAAATTCAATTCAAAAATATTTGTTCCTTCTCGACGTGCAGTCAAATAAAGAGACGTATCCGAACATGTACAAGATGACCAGTCCTGTTCATCGATAGGCTGAATAAGTTCTGTTGCTAACGTTTTTTCATTAACAATATAGATTTCTCGACTTCTTGTTATTACAATAAAAGTATTTAAGGCTGTTGACCAACACATATCACGAATAAAATCGAATTTCCATGGAGATTGTTTAACTATTTGAAGCTGTTGATTGATTAAACATAAATTCGGGTGTCGATCAATTAATAAATATCGATTATTACTGACAAGCGCCGGTCCCCATTCGCCTGAACAATCAATGGTTCGATAAGGTGTTGTAAGACTTACTAAATTACATTTATTGGGTTCAAAATCTTGAATAAAAATGAAACTATCATCGATGTTTAATGGACGAATATCGATTTGTAAACGTGTATTTTCAATATTTTTAATATCATCATGAATATGACGAATAGCTAGTGTTAGTGCATCTATATTCCCTTGATTAGTTTCTTGTTGACGTATAAGTTCAGTCATTTTTGAACGTATTAGATTTAATTGTGTTCTTTGCTCATCAAGTTTTTGTAAAGAACGTTGATCGAGTTCATGAAGTTTTTGTTCATATAATTGATTAATCAGTTTACAACAATTATCACGCCATTGAACAAGTTTTTGTCGACAACCACCAATTAATTTTTCTGTATTCGATGATTTCAGTTGTTCATCCAGACTATTAAACTCATTCATTAAAGGATTTAATTGAGGATTATTCAAATCCTCATGTTCTTTTAAATGATCATGACATAGATTTTTATTACAACATGAACATATAGAACGTGATTTACGTTTACATTTTTCAATGGCACATGTTCGTGGCATTACAATAAAGTAAGTAAAAAGCGAAAATATTGGATATACAACTAGTTGAAAGTATTTATACAAAATAAAACAGATGCATTATTATTGCATGCTTACTAAACAAATATAAATTGTTCTATGCAAAATACAACGAGCGAATAGCATTGCTTCCTAACTTACCGAAAGGTAAAGGTAAATAAATTGACGAAACACTTATTCGATTGTTTGAAGTTTGCCTAGCATTGAATAATGTTGTAACAAAAAGGGACTGCTTATATAAGTTTAGATTTGAAAAAAAACAAAACAAACCACTTTGAAGCGGAATACATTCAGAAAAATTTCTCATAGGCTGATTTGATATTATTCGAATCAAAAAAAGCGGAATAAGATTTCACGTACAAGAAACTGATCTTCTCGTTTCTTTTACTCAGTTTAAATCATGTATGTCAATATTTAAAAGAGCTATACTTATATTTCTGTGAAGAATATTATTCAAGCTGATATTGTTCTAGAATTAGTGTTAAGCAACATGAGAACCAAGAGAATCAATATATGGCCATGAAAAATAAACAATCGCACAAGTCTATGATTACATACCTATTTTTCAATTAATGAGGATGTTTTTTTCTAAAGAGTTAAAAACTATTTTCACTCATCGATAGAGAATTTTTCATTTCTTTATCCATATTAATTCGATTATCATATTGACATTATTTTATTATAGAGTTTTTAATAATATTTTTGCTGATAATTTTTACCATCTAGGGGAAAATTAGTAGCAGTCAGTATTGTGAATTTTCTGATATAATTGACATAAAAATTCTCTATCTCTTGGCTTATACGTGAACTTTTTGTGAGACCATGTTGAACCACTTAAATATATCCACTATATTTCGTCTATCGTACTAGTGAAAACGATACATTTTGTTATGTAATATAATACATAAATTAGTATGAATAAACGAATAGAAAAATGCTTTGATAGGAAAAAGAAACCAAAATTATGACTTCTTCTTACCTCTTAACAGATGAATCGAAATCATTTGTATACAGAAGATTTCAATCAGAGTAATAGTCTCATTAGAATTCAATAATAAAATGTTCAAGTATGTCCTTGTGCTAGATTGCTAGCAAGTTTTAGAAGAACAATGCAAATTTAGACAAAGTAAATTTTAATTCTAAAATGGAAATATCGAAGATTTCTTTAAAAGTATTTGTCAAATTTCAAATATTATTCGTATCTGTTTTTTGATGATTTTTAAAAGCTATCAGCAACAAAAATAGCAGAATATCAATTGAAGCATCAGTAAACTATCCGAGTACATCAGAATTTTTGAAAATAGTTTCTAAAACTGCAATTATGCTTTCGACGTAAGGTTGTTTGCATTCATTCATAGAGCGCCAAAACCAAATATTCTGATTCTAAAAGATATAGAAAGGAAATGAAAAATACAATGTCAACAATTGAAAAATGATCCCAAAAAAGATCTCATTATATGCTTGACACACATAACAAACGAAAAAGAAACATTTTCATTTGAAAAGTACATGAAGAGTATTGCGCGAAAAAACCTCCTATACTATTTATATTCAAAAATGAAACCCGTCTTATTAAATAATCTATTCTTATCAGTGTCATATTTATAAATGCTGTTCTCTATGCTGGTAAACTTCTAATTCAAATGACAAGCGTTTTTATGCACAAAAATCCAAAAGATGTATTGATTTAACTGGGTTTTTTTTTATGAAGTAGCCTTCATTCTACTAACCCTACCGATACGATCACATTAGTGATTACTCAAATATTTACTAGTTCCAAATAAGTGTTGACGGATTGGCGAAAAAATCTGATCAAAATCAATTTAAATCATCCGAAATTTAGCTAAGAACTGATATTTTCGAGATTATTTCTTTACCTCGATACCTTCAGACAGGAAATTTAACATTTAAGAAATAAATTGAAAATCCATATCTGATGAAAAAGACTGAATTGTTTTCTACAAACTCATATAACTGAATTCAAATGATAATTATATAAGTTGACCACTTGCTCCAGGTGAAAAACAAATCTGCTTATGAAAATTAGACACAAAATATTTATTGTAATTTGAATAGATTAGCAAATAAAATATTTAAAAAACCGTTCGCAGATTAAATGATTAGGTTTTGATAACAAAATATTTAATTAAAACCAAACAAACAATATAATCGTAACGAGCACGAGCTGAATTATATTAATACATTCATGTAAATATTTGTATGATCATACTGACAGTTTCGTTTACCTACTGTAAAATTGTAATCCTATTGTTCTTCTCTCATTTATTCAATTATCGAAATAGTAGTATTAAAACTAATGTATGAGAGATTATGAATAATCCAATATTTTTCAATTGTTCATATGAAAACAAATCAGCAAAGTCATTTTTCTGATAAATGTTTCAACACAATTCATATTTATGTTTCATACTAGAGAATTGTTTGAACACCATTGATATAAAACTAGCTGCCTTTCATTTTGTTCAAGTCAAAATTAAGCAAAACAGTACCATTCCGTGAGAAAATTTTCGATATATTTTCAATCTGTGCAAGAATGATGAAGCTAATCAGATCTACGTTTGCGTTTACTATGGTATGGTATTTTATTTTATTTCTAACGGTCGAAAAAAAAACTCAAATACCATATAGATCAACAGTATTGACATAAAACAATGATCAAGAAAAACAACAGACTACTAGTTGGTCGAGGCAAAACGAACAATAACGTTGAATGTTAATTATAAAAGTCAGAATTTTCTTCGCAAAAGTGATAATGAATAAATATATATAAACTTCAAACTGCTACCCATTGCTCATCGCAGATTTGACCATAAATAACAAATCTTGGTATAATAAATCTAAGTGAGCGAACTTTTCAGAAGAAATCAATGGAACGGGTAATTGATTTGGAAAATATTTAAAACTCATTGTATAAAAATAAGAAAATAAAATAGATCTATCAAAAATCTCGCGGCAAGAGAGAAATATGAGGATGCATTTGATTGAAAGTCAATTTCAATTTGACGATAGAGTAACAGTAAAACTTCTTGATGTAGATACTTTTTTTCGATCTCTTCTAATTTTTTCTTCAATTTCAATCTCATTAATTTGTGTTTTCTAGATTTTTGAGACATTCAGTCTTTCCTTGAATCAAACATGGTCTACAAATCTACGTACATTGAATAGACTAGTGTGTGTGTTGCACTCATTGTCATAAAATGATAGCTAAGAAAAAATATCGAACAAAGCAAAGAAGACAGAACTGAAAACATCTATTCACTGATGAAATGGAAATAATTTATTATTTTATATTGCCAAATAGAAGTTACAAAATATTTACGTCGATAATAACTCGAAACAAACACAAGCGAAACTTTCCAATAGAATATTTCAGAAAAATTAATCGTCAAAATTGAATTACTCTCTAGTAAATGGATAGACTTTTGAATCTAAAACAGTTCCTAAACGGAAATAAAATCTATGGTTATTTCTTCTTCACGAGAAGAAAAATTTACATTCGAAACATTATTTTCTATATTTAAATATTTTATTTAATAATCAATAATAATTAACAACGAAAGAACTAAAATAAAAACAAGTATTGTTGAAGTAATTGACATAACTTTCTTAAAAATCGCTCAGTTAGAGCACTAGCATCCGACTAGTCTCAGCGACACCACTAATCTATAATCTTCTATTACACTCTTAAAACCGAACAAAAGTATGCATCCAGTTCTACCACTTTACTATTCAACTTGTGAAAAAATTTGAAAAGAAAATCTACTTAACAAAGATGTGTTTCTTATCTTCTTCTTTTCAATGTTCTATCGTGTAATACGGTATCTTTCATTGAAAAAGGGAAGATAACTAAAGAATTGTCGTTCTTTTCTTTAGAAGAATATGTAAGAGACAATACACTTATCAAAAGATATATTTTTTGTGACTAGGCAAATAAAGAGATATTAGATTGAAAAGAAAAATATTAAGTATAAGTTTTTTCGAATTTGTTTTTAGTTTACTACATAAGCATGGCTTCAACAGATTCAATAGATAATAATATAATAGAACGATTAGAAGCACGTTCTTATGATATTTTTCAAGAACCATTGATATATCTTTTACCTATTTGTATTGTTGATCAAAATCCTAGTATTACATTAGAAAAAGCACTAGAACCATTAATTTCTACTTTGCCAAATCTTCAAAAACATATTTCTACTACAAAACAAAGATGTAAAAATCCAGCTGATGGATTAACACAAGATGAATCTGCTTCGATCATGCTTTATTCTATGAACTCACAACCTATGGAACAATGTTTATATTATGTGCTGAATTCAGCACTTCGCTCTGGTGATAGGCGTAAATTAAAACCTTGGCTTCTATATTTATCACTACTTGCTAAAGCACTTTCTCGTTTACCGTCAATAGCTGCTGTTGTTCATCGACAAGTTCAAATAGGTTTAACTGAAAAATATCCAATTGAAAAGACATTTGTTTGGTGGGCTTTTTCTTTGTGTATCTTATCTCTTGATATCTATCAATCAAATGAACATCTGACAAAAACTCAAACATGTACTATATTCACTATTGAATGTAGATTTGGAAAAGATATTCGAAAGCATTCATATTTTCCTAATGAAGACCAAATACTTCTAATGGCTGGATCTGAATTTAAAGTTATTTCATCTATGAAAAACGAGACGAATCAAAATATAATTTATTTAAAAGAAATTCAATCTAATAATCCTCTTTTGCAATTTTCGAATATTTCAAATCAAGAAGAAATTCTATCGGCAAGTTCTCTTTTAAATATATCAGATATGAATGTTCAATCGAGATCAGAAACTCAACTAATTCCGAAATATATTGATCATCAATTGAAACTGCAAAAGAAAATTCAGAAATACTCAAAAAATTCACCGATTGATTTAGTAAATGAAAATCTTAATGATCAAGATATTCCACTTGTTATTCAACATGCTATTTTTAACAAACAATGTACTGTTCTTCGATTAGATGAAAATTGTATAACTTCAGAAGGTGCAACTACGTTAGCTGAATCATTGCATAATAATCGAACTTTAGTTGGATTAAATCTTTGTGCAAATCGCCTTTTTGATAACGGCATTCGTCCATTCGTTCAACTTTTATCAGATAATTATCCAGTTCTTCAAAAATTACATCTTGGTTCAAATGAAATATCCAATGAAGGTGTTCTTTTATTATCTGAAATGCTCAAAACGAATACAAAGCTAACTGTGCTTTGGTTAGATAGCAATCGAATAAGTGACGAAGGAATTTATTTCTTGGCTAATACACTTATTCATTGTAATAGAACTCTTCAAGAATTATCTCTTAGCAACAATAAATTGATAACTAGTTTAAGTGTTCCTTGCTTTATTGAAATATGTCAAAAGAATCAATCATTAACATGGCTTGATATATCTGATTGTTCTTTGACAAAACAAGACAATCAACGTCTTAAATTTATATCAAATGGAAATCAACATTCTGTTCTTCAACTGGATACAGAAGAAAGCGATTGTTTTGTTTCTTAAATATTGTATTACTTTGAATCAGATTCAAATAAATTGAAATAATACAAGCAAGGTAAAATATTCTTAGTATTTATCGGGTATATGATTGAATTACAGGTGGAACGACAAGGATAGATGATTGCTTTTACTGGTACAGTAATACATTGTTGCGTATATCTTGACGTTAACAGATTCGAAAAAAACAAAAGTTAGAGAAAAATACAAGCTTTAAGAAGTTTCGCTGAAAAACTTGGACCTATCTATATTGCCTACGATGAAGAGAAGGTAACACGAAATGCTGAGTGTTTTGGTTGATGTTTTAGTAAAAGAATCTCTTTTTATCTCTGTACGCTGTGTTTATAAAAGATCACCAAATCTTATATCATTAAACAAGACTTTTTTGGTTTTGATTTCTTCTTCAATTTCAGATCGTTGTTAACTTATTAAAATTGTACTGCCATTTATAGAAACGATTTTAGATCAAATTATTATGATCTATAACAATTTTAATATAGTCAAAATAAATACGAATGTTCTTAGAAATAGTATCGAAAAACAAAATTATAGAATAGATTCATCAAAAGTGATAGCCAACTTGTCTCGCTTGCTGTACATGTGAAAAAATATTAAATTGTTATCAGTAAGAATATGATAAATGATGCGTATCGGGCCTCCTAATGGGATAGGATAGGATGAAGGTCTAATCTCATGGGAAATGTGGTTATTTTTTTAAAGAAAAAATGATTATTCATTTATGTCACACTTGACAATAAGTGAAAAGTGTGAATATTATCATTCTTTTTCTGTACTTGTCATTTGCCCGATTCCGAGCTCTATTCGAACAATAGGATAAAGAATACGATAAAACATAGAAAACAGAATTAAACATAAATGTTCTTTTCGTTTCAATGTTTTAATAAAGTATCATCATCTTTTGTTTTATAAATTGTTCAATATCACCTTCTATAATTATTTCTTCCTCATTATCATCATTAGTTTCGGATAAACAGGAATATTCTGTTGAGAAAATCAAATTTCGTTTACAACATCACACGCAGAATTAAAAGGTATTGATAATGATATTCCAACCAGGAATGCACCAATTTCTAGTACATGGTACGATAGATACAAATTTTGCCTAATGCAGGAGGCAGTCGTTCTCTGATTCCGTTCCATATATCAGCCAAGATCATCTTTTTCGATCTATGAAAAACTATGATCCAAATTTATTAGAGATGAAAAAGCGTTTTTAGATTTGACTTCCAATTCCAATTTTCAAGTCGTTTTCTGTCAAATTCTGCCGAATGCAAATCACTCAAATCCGAAAACGCTTTTTAATCTTTCATAAATCTCGGCTATCGTTTTACATAGAACAAAAAAATGATCTTGGCTGATATATGGAACCAGAGGACAACTCCATTTTACATCAGGCAAAAAAGTCATCTCTCTTGCAATGTACTAGGAATTGGTGCACCCCTAATGCCAATATTCAAATCGGAATGCTGGAAAACTTCGACTTTCCAGTTAGAAAACATAAACCTTGATTTTCAGTCAAATTTTTCGTAATATAGCGAATCCCACCCCATTAGGAGCCCTGATGTGCATATCAATATTTCAAAGTTAATGCTTAAATATTGCTACATTAATTGACCAATCAAGAAATAATAATGTTGAAAAATGAAAAAGATTTCTTATGAATACACTTATGTATCATATTTCAGTTAATACAAAATATTGTTCATTAATAAAATGATTATTTCATTTTTCTTTTATAATTTGATTGCTGTTTTGATCTGCTTCACTTGTTGATTTCAATGCATTAGTTTTTTGTAAACAAATATGTTCTTTTTTATTACATTGTTCTTCTTCCATCTTTGATTCTCGTTTAGTACCAAAAATAGGGATGCTAGAAGTATAAAATTAAACATAATCTGTTATTGCTATCAAATACAACATATTACATTATTCAAAACTTCTCTTCTCGGTTAAAATTCTTATAATTAAAATATTTCTAGATGATTAAAAGTGCATTTCACTACTATACGTAAGTTACGTAATTACGGCAAATTTCGCAAAAATCGTTGACTTATCTCTGTATAAAAAGCAGCATCTCGATCATTCGAATATCACTTATAATAAAATCAATGATTCAACTTCAAATGAAGTCATCAGTTACTATCATTTGAAACTGTTTGATATTTGACTACTAGATAGACAATTTTTATTTCCCATAAAAATAAATCAATACGTGCAGAGACTTGTAATAGACCTTTACAAAAATTTAGAGAATCGAAAGTTCGGCCTACAAATTAACATTTTTGTTAAATGTACGTACCAAACTAAGCCCATCTGTTCAGTATCTTCAATTGTTTGTGGTAAATTCTTATTCAATGTTTCTGGTAAGATTAAAACAGACAGAGCTGCTATTAGAGATAGAATTCCATATAGAACACTTGGAAGATTGATCCATACTCGACTCTAAAATCAGAAACATTCTAGAGAAGTTACATTTTTTGAATAAAATATGGTGAAAATGTTAAAAAATCATGTGTGTTCTAGTTCATCATATGCATTTCCGATTTAAACAAATATGCCAATTCATCAATTTCAATTTCTTTGAGCCAGAAAAAACGTAGCTCTTACCAACATATCATTACTGGTTGTTCCAACTATTGCTCCGATGCCTATTCATTAAAGTAGTAATATTGAATTCAACAGATATTTTAGAAGAGGAAAGAAATTTTTACGTGCAATCATTGAACAAACACCCATTCCAGTATTTCTTATTCGTGTAGGAAATAATTCATTTGCGTAAATATAAATAATATTATAACTACCAGCTGCAAAAAATTTCAATAATACATTCAAAATAAATGTAAGAATCCGTTGTTCTAGTATACAATCAAAAATATATCACTTTCAAATACATACATAATTCTATTCAAGTTAATAGAAATAAATTAAATTTACTTTCGCTATTCTTAATTATTATATTTTGAATGGGTATTATTATTAATGTGATAACAGCAAAACAAATGGCAGCGATAAAATAAGGCAACTTTCGTCCTACTCGATTGAGTAGAGGATGTAATACTATACAAGATAATATTTCAACAAGAGCCGACATTGTAAAGGATACTAAAATTTTCAATCAAAACTGAATATATAAAAAATATTTAATTTGAAATGTGTATCTCATTGGCTTACAATAAGGATTAAAACCCCAAGAACCAGTATTTTGTGAAACCCCATAGAAAACTAAATTTTGAACAAACCTTAAAAACATAAATTCCATTGATTTCAGTGGAAAACAATATTTATAGAAATTACCATTGGAAAAATAAATTCATAGATATAATAAACATGATTTTTGTTTGAAACAATCCCAAAATACCCATATGATGCGATTGATCTAGTGTGCTCTAATCAGGAAAAAATATAGAATCCTTTAGTTAATACAAAATTATTTTCTAATATTCTATTTATAGAATAGATGACTATGTTCTAGAAATATAGTCATCTTGTATTTCTTATTGAACTTCTAGTTAGCTCTGTATTTTTTACGAATTCTATACTAACTACACATTACCTTTTCTTGTTCATTTTTCAATTGTTCAAATGCTTGTTTATCGAACGGTCTTTTATTTGTTATTGCAATATGTCGAAGTAGTTTCTCAGCTTTGATATAATGTCTTTTACTCATCATCCATCTGGCTGATTCAGGCAATATACTAGAAAATCTCAATGACTAGACATAAAATTTCCAATAAAAAAGACAACATTAACTTACAAATGAAAGAATATAAACGGTGTAGTAAATATAGATAAAGCCCACGATAAACGCCGCCATTCACGAATAAAATAAGCAAACGCAACCAAAACCAATTGTCCAATTGCAAAAAAATATTTCACACTGATTGCCGTTAAAAATTTATTTTTGGGACCTACCAACTCCGTTACTAAATAACACAAAAATACAATAGAATTCATGGATTACGAAAATACTCGATAGATTTCAATTTTAATTTTAAGATTAAACGTAAGTATAATTACTTAGTACAAATCCGGTCACAGAAATGCCTCTCGTTGAACAAGCCAAAATAAAACGACTGAAAGTATATACTATATAACTTGGCCAGAATCCAAATACTTGTTTTTGTGGAAAGAAACTACAAACAAATCCTGTTAAAACCATCAAAACTATACAAACACTCATGATTGGACGGCGACCATATCTAGAGGAAAAAAACAGCTAAAATGACGATCAGATATTAAAAATAAAATTTCTGAAAGGTAAAATACATGATTATATATCTCGTCAATAGTTAACAATCACCTTCATATGAAATGATACAAATTTGAATTCGATTCGAATACATGATAGATCCATAGTTCTAATCGTGATATATTTGATAGGAGTAAGTGAACTATGAAAACTTTCGTACAATGATGAAAGGGATTATCGAGTAAGCTCTTGAATGATATCTGTCATAGTGAAAGATTTCGACCACAATTATTTTGAATTTACGAAAAGAAATATTAAAGTAGCTGTATGCACTTCTGTTAGCACATATATTTACAAAATTTAAAGATTAAGTTATTTCACTTTGATCGTTTTCATTGAACTCTGTGCTGATCGTTAGAAAGAATTTTTTCTGAACTAGAAAATTCGAAAAATATCTGTTTCTTCTAGAAACTAATTTACATATTACACTATGATACATACGTATCTCGTAAATCACATAAAACGTGGATAACTCTATGATGAAGAACTTTCGACCTTGAAAGAATGTTTTTTTTTGGTTTTTCATTTACAAGTATCAAAAAATACCTATGCAAGTGCTGATACTTCATCGTATTATGAAAAAGTATAGAGACATTAATGTATGACATCAACTAATGTCAAATAACTATGTTATTTCTGGCATGTGCTCAGTAGAAAAAAAGACTCACTTATCAGCTAAAATTCCAAAAAATATAGATCCAACCATATAACCAACAAAGAATATATTTTGTACGATTGAACGATATATAGTTCGATCACATACCATCAACCACTAATATAAGAAAATAATTAAAAACTTGCTTTTTTTATGAGAATGGATACAAACTTCTTCGACCAGCGTATACTGATAATACGTCCGATCAAAAACAAAATCTTTACAAGCTTGAATTTGTGCTGTTCCCCTGTCTGAGATTGTTTTCCTATAACATCGTTGACATTCTTTAACAGATATTTTCATATTTGCTGTGCAGTATGTTTCATCAGGTTGACTCTGATTGAATAAAAATGAACTATTGCTGTTAAATTCAATATCATTTTCTGACAATCTACATCGAAATGTTGGTTTCGCAGCAGTGAATGACCATGTGTAAACCATAACTAAATTGAACAAATTGAAATCATTAAAAAATACAGAAATATACATGAAATTGAACGATACTCACTCGGTGGTAACATGTATGTTAAACATATAAAAATATATCTTAATTTTTGATATCGACCAAAATCATTTATTGTATGTAAGAAATCATCAAATTTCATTTTTAGATAGTTGCTGTCTCTAAAGCTTATACGTCTAACTATATTTATTCAACAATCTATTTAAACAAAAAGAAATTATATGATGTATTAATCCATAGTAAAATATTAGAAACGCGTGTTAACTTGGAAAGTGTGTTTTGTTTCAATTACTACATATAAAACATGAACTTGTAGATTATCTGAAAAAAAGCTTCAATTGCTTAGTATACACGAAAAATACTACTAGATTCATGCACAAAAAAGTTGACTATTGTCAACATACAATAACATATGTTTTGCTTTTTAAACAAAATTTGATAGACCATTTATGACACCTACCATTGCAGTATTTATGAATGCTTATAGAAGACAAAAATTTCATATACAAATGGAAAACTACCGTTAGCGAGTACCTAACGGATGATTAGAAGATTAACTTATAATTCCTTGTCAATATGACAAGTTGATTTCTATGAAAATAATTACTAAAACAGTTGACATCAGTAGCTAGATGAGTTTCAACTATTCTGTATTGTATGTGCTGATCCACGCAAGAATTCAGTACTTTCTTTGATGTTTCTTTATTAATTTTTTCGTTTGATTCATACTCCCTTTTCGGACATCTTCACAATGTTCCCTGTTTACATATGTACGTACCCAACTGTTATTATATTATCATAATATCTCTACTATGCATCTACTCAGGTTCCATTGAATTCAACTGATGAGCATAATTTTCGTTTGATTGAAATTTTATCCTTGAAAAGATTTTATCATAAAAGAAATATATTTTTCTCTTATTTTCAATGATGAGAGGTAAAATTTGTTCGCAAGTACATCGAGGAGAACATGCAGCAAGTTGTCAGAAAAGTTTTTCTGGTTGCAAAATAGAAGGAATGACATACTCCAGAAAACCGAATTGAAATATTTTATATGTACACCTGCAATGAATGATGTAAAATGAAATTAGCAGCTCTGTCGAATGAATTTTTCACAGGATAAGTTCTCTTATCTAATATTAGAGTATCATAATTAAAGTCCTAGTCTAGAGAACATATGTAATCAAAATCATGACAGAAGAGAACACTCACAACGCAGAAATGTAATCTTTTATTTTGAGTGCTGATTCAGTGAAATATAGTTACAAGTGAACGTCTCTATTTAATGAATACTTCAATATTTACTGAAAGAATTTGTTTTGCAACGATGAAAAACGAAATCAATAAATAATTTGCTAGTAGAAGATAACGACAACGATTAATAAGTAATAATAAATGAAAAGATAGAAAAGAAATCAACAAGATAAAGAGTAAAATACAAGACATACGACCCAGCAGTGCACCAAAGCGAGAATTACCGTATTACATTAGTAAGCTAAATGTTTTATACCATAGAGTAGCCTTTCAAAATGTGATAATGGTAAGATAAAGACACAACGAACATAAAATAGTTTTGAAAGTAAAGAGAGGAAAAGAACCACGCAGTAGATGTAATCAATCACGGTTTGCATACTATTTTAAAATTTTCAACAACGATGATCTAATTTTTACTTTTAGAAGGTAAAAGAAATAAAATACTACAAACAAATGCTTTGTTTTTCATACTAACTACAGAACGGCGTAACAACGCTGCTACTCAATATTTGTTTTTCTAATAAGATATTCATCAAGTTTGATGTTTTTAGTACTAAATTTTTATCATATTTTATCTGCTAAATTAAAGTTTATTTTATTTAATGCAAAATACAAATAAAAATACTATATTGTATCGTCCTTACAGTATTCAAATGGCATAAGAATTCGAATATACAATAATCCATGTTGAACATATAGCTGTACTCTAAGAACAAATGTTTCCATTAAAATTTTATATTAGACCACGATTTCCAACCAAAAGAAAAACATTTTATTTGTAATCCTTTGATATAATGCATGATAGTTTAACTTGAGCGAAGAGTGAACTCAACAATAGGAAAAACATTAATTAGTTTGTTCGTTGTAGAAGAATATTTTTTTGGATTTATCAGTACTACTTTAAAGTTTTGAACTTTTGTACATATCAAAATAAGAAAGTTGTAATTATTGTCTCTTTCAAATAACATTCTTATAAATTATATATTGCTTTGATATCCGCAAGTTTGATACTCGTGTTCTCAATATTATATGTGAATAATAGTTATAAATGTTTTTATTTTATTTCATTTTAAGACAAACACAAATAGATAAACGATGCAAACTCTTTTTTATTGTCATTTATTCATATTATTTGTTCAAAGTGTTCTGGCAACAAGTTGACATTCGTCATTATTTTTATCCGTCAGATCAGCTAGACGAACTTGATCATATTCAACATAATTAAGTTGGCGATAAGTTTGAAAACCTTGTCTTGTAAAAGAATTTAATGAATAAGTATTCGTTGCTTCGGCATAAGCTCCACCAATGTTAAACGTTTTAGCTTGTTGAATACTAGCTGCAATAAGACTTGAAGCAAGACCATTACCACGATAAGTGTTGTCAACATTTATAATAAATATATGAAGAAGAGAATTTGTCAATAAATGATCAAACAAATTAATATCTTTATGCATATGATCAAGAAGATGAAGAATAAAGTAAATTTTTTCATTGGATTCATGAATTATATTTGTATGAGTTTTATATTTCACTTCGTTCAAACAGACACCTGCCAATCGATTTGTTTGAAGATCATAAGCAACAAATGAACATTGATCATTTAATGCATCGCTAATAACATTGTTGGCAAAATCAATTGGTTCTTTCACTTGAAGGCATTTAGCCAAAGGTTCGTCGCAAAAAAATGAGCTTACCAATAGATTTAACACGTGAATACGATCTTCTTCACACATTAAATGAACACTGAATTGTGGCGAAGATAACATCTTTGTATTATCCAACAAACTGACAGTCTTTTTATTTTTGTTAAGTGTATAAGAAAATTGTCTTGAAAATTGAGGGAAATGGTTGCTTTGCCTTCGAATGAGTGTTTAATAGAAACGATGACTTTTCAGCATAGAATGAAAACCATTACATGCGGTAGCATCTCAACTATTTAATAAAAATAGTTTTGCCATTCTTTTGACTATGGTGTGTATCTATTTAATCTTGAAATCAGATAAATTTCCGGAGAGAAAAAAAGGAAAACAGAAAATATTCTCGCACCTCGATCACATCAAAAGAATTTTTGTTTGTTACATGTCTAGGAACTGACTTATGATTTAATGTTAAACGTGATTTAAGAATAACTGGCAAACTCATCTACTTAGAATTATCCTTTGATAATGCAAGATATTACAGGCTTATAAAGTAGAATGCGAATGATTCATAGAAAACTGAAAATGGAAAGAAAATGTGGATGAGATTTTTTTTCAAGAATTAATAAAAATTTGATTAATAATTACATCACTGAGTTTAACATGGATGGAAAGAAAAAGTTTCATTATACTATAGTTATGGATCACATCTTGAAAATCAGAATGAAAATTTTATTTTAATGCTAAAATACTAAAAGAGTAAAAGGATTTCGATAGAAATTTTGATTGAACGTCTTTTGATAGATTTCAAAATGTTTATCTTTTCCGCATGCATGTATGCGAAATTTCATTATCGACGTCAATGTATCCTATAAATCTAGTTTATTTGATGAAATCTTGTCACTCTTTGTTCCTTTATTACATCTCATTTTTGTTTGAACCTTTTTCTGCATTTGTATAGCACGTATTTGACTAAGAAGAATTAAACTAGTAACAGTCATTGTGTTGATATGCACCATTATTTCGCCAACTAAGACGGAGGGAAATTGCTACTTCATTCTTCAATGAAGACAATGGCGTCAACAACTCATATTCGACAATGTTCAGAGCAAATAATTCAACCTTATGACTAAGTTCATTTCTCTACATCCTGATTGCAAATACTCTCTTTTTTACTCGCCGAGGTAGAATGTTTGCAAGTTAGAATCGAAGAGAAACAAACATATTTTACTGGTAAAATCAAGACTCAATTTATTATATAGAAAATAATATCTAGTTAATATGATATTTTGAGAAGACATTGGCTATTGATAATTCTTTGCTTTCAATCGCAATTTCATCGTCAATCGCGAAATTCAAATTTAGATCTACAGAATACTTTTCATCTTTCACTAAAACTGCCAATTGAAAATCAGAATAATTGATAATATAAAATTTTCGATGCTTAGTTTGTGATAAAATTATGCTGATATCAATATAAACATTCATTGGATTGTCTTTACATTGAGCTAGTATTTAAACGAAAAAATAAACCTAGTGGATTTGATTATATGAAATAATTCTTTGTTTAAATAGAATACAATGGTATTTGTCTGAAATTGTTCTGCAGCATTTTAAATTCAAATAAAACAATTTGATTTACTTAGTGCAAAACATAATAACATTCAAGGAACATCTAGAGGTCACAATCATACAGATGATATTGATCAGAATGATCGATGAAAGTACAAAATCATAGAGTTCATTGGAACTTCGAATTAATTGTTTAGTTTTCCCGCCAGTGGAAAAATGACAAACTATTGTTAGAATAGTATTAGTCATATTTAACATACTCATATTATCAATATAACATGTGCCATGTAAACAATTGCCTCTGAAAGCTACTTTTTCTATGTCACTCTTTATTTTAAAAATTACTCTCTCCAGCGAAGTTTTTAAAAGTTTTTAGATAAAGTTTTAGACGTTACGAATGAATATTCTTTGAGATACAATTTAGACCTATTGATGATGTTTCGTTGTATATTATCTAAATGTTACCAAAAAGTATTTTCAACAGTTCCGTCCGATCTATGTCATAAAATAATAGTTCGTTCAATTTAAGAATAAATCTGAACACTTATTAATTGTATACTAAGGTTTATTAATTCCCATTTTCGGCATCAAATAAAATTGAAACACAAAAATAGGTGCGTTATATAATTAAATTATCTTCAGAAAAGTTTATACCTTTGCAATATTGTTTTGTCTCTTATCTACTCATTCATGCAATCACCACCATCATATTATCTTCATTTTCCACTTTTGAACTTATGTAACTACATGAGTATTCTTATCGTAATAAAAGCATTAGATGATGTTAGTGTTTGCATTTGTTCTTATGTTCTACATTATATGACTTTTTATTTATCTTTTTCTTCTTTTATTTTATTATCTTTTCGTTTTATCATTATTTTGTTTTGAATATTGTGTCCCTATTGATTCAATGATTTTGTCATTTGATATTTAAGTTGGTTAAGCTAACGAGTTAACTAAGAGAATATGAAATTGTTAATTTTAATTGTTATGATTATTTATAGTCATGGCTATTTTACAGGATGTCCTATGGATGGCTGCGAAAGCACACTAAGTCATTTTGTTGACATAGCTGTTGATGGATTTGATAAAAATACAAAATGGCAACGTAGTGACTTGTTAACAAATTCGTCACGTGGTTGTGTATCGAACGGATTATCTTCGCTTATATGTTCTGTCGATGTAGGATACGTATCAATAAATATTACCAATGGCGAATTACTTTGGTCTATCACGCTTGAGATAAAAGAGAGAACAGAAACAGCGTCATTACCCGTAGTGAACTATGAAGGCTTCATGATCATTGCTAATAACACACGATGTACATTAGTCGATCCTCAAGGTGTTATCAGGGGTGTATTCGATTACACACCAATGTTGATTCCTCCATTAGCAGGTCCATTTGTGACAGATGATGGCCAGATTGTTGTTGCCGATTTGATTTCTGTAAGTCCTGATTCTATTATTCGTTGTCATAAAATATTTTAGGACGTGTAAGGCATATATCTATCGAGTTTACAATTTTCTTTTTGTATAGTAAAGATGTTCGGATTAGTCATAGACAGGTGCTGAAATAGATGTATCGCTAAAGATCAAAAAGATTTTTCTCTATAGCAAAATTGAGAGATTTTTATTCTGGAGCTACTCAGTTTAATTCTATCGAACTCGTAGAGAAACATGAACAGCACGACGAGGAAAAATATATTCTAATTTTTGGTCAGTGTGAATCGAAATTCTTAGATTTTTCACTGAGACTTGAATAATTTCTGCTTTGATCACGATGCTTCCAAATGTTTCACAGTTAGGTAAGATGAAACCACGTTTAATAGTTTATGATAAATATCTCTTGAAGACTCAACATTTTTCTTATGTAACATCTCTGTGTCAGTATATATCAAACTGAAGAATCTACTTTTACCATTAGAATAGTCATCTGAATTTTGAGAGAAGCTTCTCTCATTTTATTTTTTTATTTAAATCTGAGATGGTAACTTGATATAACACTGCATATACACAAGGCGAATGTTAATAAAATAAATTGAATCCCATATAAAATAGTTTATTCGACAATGTTCGCTTTTCATGACTTGTTACAAACATGAAATTCTTGTTCAAACAAAAAATTATTCACGAGATGCTATAATGAAACAGTTTTCTGCTTGACAAGTAAACAGCGAACAATATTTATAAAAATTGTTAAAAAAGACTAGTCTCTTTTTTATTCGTTTAATCACACGTAAAAACATATTACTTTCAATGTCCGACGCTATATTCACAAAGTGCTTAGTGTTTACATATATTGTTTTTCCATTTCGTTTTGTGCGACGAACTGCTTATGATCGTCTCAGTTTTTAAGAAGAATAAATACAAATTCAGAAATTACAACTAATATTTATAATTTTAAAAATGATGAATTCACGATGTAATGAATGTTGCTAAACATTTGAAAATGATATTCATTGATCAAAGTTTGCTCTTAGTTTGTAGGTATAGAAGATTCTGGTATTCCTCTGGGCGTCCAATCTTTGCCTCAAGATTTCGTTCGTCTATCTCGATCTATGAGTCTCAACAGAAATGACGCTAGATGGTATTTAATTGCTCAGCATAATACAACAGCTTCTCTAGCGATTATTGCTGCCGAGACAAGTGGTAGCATAGTTGGGCGACTACGTATTGTGTGGGTATACGAATATGGTGTGTTACCAAATCTATGTAATGGAATGGAGGGACCGTTGCTATCTATGGATCGAAAGTGGCTGTTTGTTGTTAATACTACAGGTATTCTAATCATCAACGATAATGAAGACTCAGCAACTGTTGAATACCTTGTTAGTTTCTCAGATCTCTGTCCAAATGATATGGCTTATTGCGAGACTGATTCGACACTTCTCGTTGTCGATAAAAACACATATAATATAATTGCATTGAATGTCTCCACGAAAAATGTATCCTACACGTCTTTGACACACATATGTCAAGAAGAGATTATTGGACAGCTTACCCATATGACTATTATTAAAAATAATCGTCTAATCATAGTTGTGATAACAGGAACTCGTCAAGCACTTCTACTGCTTATTGATTACAACAATCAGAAGCTTTTAGCGCGTTTCAATCTTGGTTACATAATAGATATTAGTAAACTTGAACCTCTAACTCAACTTGCTTATACCGAAACCGATGATCAGCAACTTTTTGTGACTATCGCTCATAAAACTATTGGCCTGGCGACAGTTCGACTCGGTATGTTTTCTATAGAATCTATTTTAATTCTCTAGGTTACTGTTATTTTTTTGATTTCTAGTGACATTGAATAAATAAGAAGAAGAAAGTAATCATCATTCTCTGCCAGTTTAAACAATGGTCAAAAAATAGCAATAACAATAACTTCAAAGGATTTTCACATTCATTTCCTTTAAAAAAAAATGTAAACCTTTTCTCCCGCTGAAAAATAACTGCTCTACATCATATTTGCTTTTATTTATCATGACGGATAACTTGAAGAAAATAATATATTGAAATTTTCAATTTCTGTTCTATTTATATTATTTTAATTAATGTGCGTATCAACAAATGAGCTATTTTGTATTTAGTAGAAATCAGTTTTATAGTTTGCAAGTCATTGATCATGTTTGTCATGCGAAATAATATAAGGAATTGTTTGTAATCACTCGAGTGACTTTTCGAATATTTTCATTAAAAAATTCTTCTATTGTTATTTAGGCTGAAATTCTTCATCATCCGGAGCAGTACTGCCTGTTCAACAGTAGTTGATGCCATCAATTATTAGCATCAACAATCTAATCGTGTCATTTCATATTTCGTTTCAGTCGATTTGAGTATTGTCTTAAATCAATACAAAAAAAATGATTTATTTTTCATAAGAATAGTAGAGCGGTGTACTCCTTTTTTAATTTAGTGTGCTTGAAAAAATCTAAAGAATTTATGTATCTATTCAATCTTTACGCGCATCAATATCGTATGAAACATTAAATAATTCGCGGAGTTTCTGTATTTTCTTACTTTGCATATCATTATTTGTTAGTTTTGTGTCACGATAGTCTCTAGAATGAAAGTCAGAGAAGATTCCATTAAACAGATTATGAAAATGTAAAGATCGACACAACCATATGGATTGTTTTGCTACCTAATAGAAAATGCCGTTCGCCGACACGAAGTTCGACAGGAAAAGTACATTTTGGTAAATTTTGCTACTATTCAAGGATCGATAAAATAAAAACTAAAGACAATATTATCGAAAGAAGCATTTCATTTTCTTATTCTGTATTTTGATGAATGTCCTTAAATCCTCGCCTTACTACAGACAATAATATATAATTTGATTGTATGTTTTCATTCAGATTGTTAACGATATGTTTAAAGAACAAAGAAATAAGATATTTTGTTTGTTATTTTTGCTATTTTTTTATTATCAAATAAGGCCAATGAATCATAGTAAATGTTTGGTAAGAAAATTAAGAACATTAAAACAAAGATGGTAGCAGAATCTCATTACTTTTCTCTTGGAATAGGCAATCATGAAAGTAGTATTTTTGAACTTAATTTATGATAAATAATGAAGCTAAGAATCTTTTGGGGAATCGATCGTCAATATGCATTAGATTCTTTTGATAACTATTAATAGAATTCTTGTAGAAATGAAATTTCCTGTAATTACTTGCCATTTTTCTCTTTGGTTTCTATCCAATAGTTGATTGAAAACTAAACAATTTTTTAATTTTCTAATGACAACAACAGACAAAAATTTTATTCTAGGGCAACTATAATTACATGCATTTTAAAGATAAGTGATTCTTATTCAATTCTCGTGGTAATTATTTTGACATAGAGATCGCTTTATCATTGATATTTAAAGCTTCATACAAGATTTTATAGTCAAGTGAAATTTCAAGTCTATGATTATTGATGAGATTTTATTTTAGGACCTTGTGTATCAAATATAGATGGAAACTTAAGGTTTTAAGAATCTTCTGTATTGTTTGCAACATAATTGAAATATTACTGTGAGAAAATATCGTAGATATTTATGTGACATATTTTATAATCTGAATTGATCGTAACAGTTAATTGTATCTAATACTTGACTAATTAAAATTAGTAACTTAATACTTTCTCAATAATTTTCGACGAATACGATCGTTTGTCTTTTGACAATAATAGTTAAATAATAAATAAAATTCAATAATATTCTTTCAAGTGAAGAAAAAATATTTCGAGTTAGCAACTTTATGCCATAAGCATAAACAGCGAATTAAGAGTTAAAAATATTCTTTCGATTATTATATTTTCTATAAAATATTCAAAAATTTCTGAAATATTCAAGAATCATTCGAAGCTGACGTTGTACTTCGTGTTGTTGATGTCATAGCTGAACGAAGACGTTGCTGTACTTGTTGTGGATGCTGCTGGTGCTGGTGCTGTTGTTGTTGTTGCTTCTGTTGTTCAGTTGAGTATTGATTCTTTTTCTCTTTTGGAAAAGCTATTGATGAACGATGTCTTTGTTGTGCTTTAACGGAAAACATCACTTGATCAACATATTGAGAGGGCATTTTTAATAAATCTTCCATAAACGTTTGTATTGTGACGTATTCCGGTAATTGATTCTCGATGAATTGACCTAGCATTTAAATTAGAAGTAACTCGTATATAAAGAAATATTAAAATCAATTTTTATCAACGTACAAGCATCTTCTGCATTCATTGTATCAAACATTTCTGTTGATTCATTATTTAAATGAAGTAAATTTGATAAACAATCAGCCATTTCATAATCATTTATATGTTCACCATATTGTTGTAAAAGATATAAAAGATTTTCACGATTCATTTGTGGTTGACCATTTCCAGGATCCCATTGATTAGCAATGGCACTAAACGCATGATAAAGATCCGATGGATTAAGACCAAATGCTGGTCGATGATTTATATATACTAAAAAATTATGAAAATTTTTCCAGAATATTAAACAATGCAAAACTAATAAACTGTTACGTTTAATAAAATCATTCAGATCAATATTTTCAACATAGGTATTCGTATCAACGTAAGTACTGAATTTAACTTCATTGAGCATATCATCAATCTAATCATTTTTTTGTAAAATTTTTAAATAAAAACAAAACGAAAGAAAATATTAATGACACATACTTCTTGTTCCGTTGGATAATAACCTAATGCTCTCATCACAAATGGAATTTCACTTAATGGAATTTTCGCTGTTATTTCTCGACGATCAAATCGATTTATATCTTGACTAAAATTATAAAATATTGTTAATTAATATTCATTTTCGAAATTCCACACGAGGTTATTTTATAATAATGATTTTAGAGCATCTGAGATAAAGATGAACAGTGGAAACAATACTTGTTAATTTCAATTAAAAAAGAATTCTTTCTTCTGATCATCTACTAGTTCTTTAAACAAAAAGCAAAATTATCTTTATGAGAAAAATTTTACGAACACAAATTTTAAAGTTAGCATCAATCAAAATTATTTATATAAACTTTTCGACTGAATATGTCATAATATTAGAACATTTGATAAAACTTTTATGTCATCAAACAAAATATGATTTACAATTAAAATGCACCAGTCCTAACTGTAGTGGAATTCACATCACATGTATGAAACATGGATATCTTCTTCTGACTTAGATCAATAAAGTTGAGTATTTTTCGATAGAAACTCCAATTGCTTAAAGAGTTAATCAGATAAGTCTTCTACTTATTACAGTCAATGCTTTTCATTCAACGTTTGCTAAATGAAATATAAAAGTAGCAGTTATGACTTCGATTTTGATATTGTATTCAAAGACAGAAATATCTTATCAGTCTGACTAATTAGAGCGATTCGTTTTTTTTCAGATACGCAGCAGATGACATGGCTCGATCTAACGTTGGAAAGGGTACATATTTTATACGATCCTTTTTTTCGTTTGATTGGTTTCATCATCTACACATGTAATTCACCGAAGAAAACTATATTGATGAATAAAATTAGCACTGTTGCAGTTAAAATAGGTTATAACCATTTCAAGTCAGTGGGTTGAATAGAATTATAATTGATTCAACTAGTTTTATCTCCAACAGTGAGAATTAGGGATTCTTTATGATTTCATAATTTTCTCGAAATGATTGTCCGACTCACATTCATCCAACTGTTATTTGAGAAGAAGTAGAACTTACTATCTCAGTTGACTGTAATAAAATAATTCTTGCATTTCTCGAAAAATTTCCCCTTCACGTCCACCTTCTAATAATTTATAAAAGGGTATCAAATCTTTTCCGCCTAATTGTGCTTGTGCTTGTAGAACTTCTGGATTAACACGTAACATGTGTACAACGTTATCAAGTCCACCACTTGTAAATAAATATTGTCCATCATAACTTGAACGTACATCACTCACACGATTTGGATGTGCTATTATAGCCATTTGATCATACGGATTACCAGTTAACGGTAAACGTTGAAGACCTATTTTATCTGTTGTCATAAAATAAATATATTCTTCGTTAGAATCTTCGTCTAATTTTGGTAGAATTCCTATTTTACGTAATGGTGAACCAAATGTTGGTCCTAATATTGTTTTTCGACACATTTTTGTACTAGAATTATACAATTTATACTTATATTCATTATTAATTGTAATTATAAATGATTCTTTTGTTAATGATGATGGATAATAACAAGCAGACATTGGTTCAGCTATTTGTTCAATGCGTGTTGACGGTTTTAAAGCCAGATGATCTATTTCACTTTCATTCAAATCATATTCAGCTAAAATATGATCAGCGCCTAATAAATCAAAAGATCATTTTTGTTTAAATATTAAATCGAAGAAAAGAAAATTAATTTCTATTTTTCTTACCAATCGTAATTAATATCGGCTGATGGTCATCAGGTGTCAAACCAAAAAACAATGCTTGAATGGGTTTATAATGTGCTCGATAACGACCAAGAAATGTATACATATCTTCACTGTTTAAATTTTGTCGATAAACAGATACTGTATAATCATCTTCCTATAAAAGAATATTAACTAAATGTTTATTTGAAATCCGATTCTATTAATCAATGCGTTAACGCGTTTATTCTAATTTGGAAGAATAGTATTGTTTTAAAAGAAAACAAGCAAATTTTAAAATAGTTATGTACGATAATAAGATATTCATTAAATATTAGTTTTATTGATGAGAGTAATCTATGAATTCTTATTAAAATGCAATTCAAAAGAAGAAGTTGCATGATTGATTTTATTATAACGCTTTTTTATGCATATTCATTTTTTAATAAATTCAATTAAATTGGAATTCAAGAATTTTTATTAAATCTAAGTCACATTCTCATGACAAATAAAGCATAGATAAATGATGGGATCGAGCAAAAGAGAACATGTGTTGTTTTTCCAAATCTAATAAAATGTCTAAATATACATCGGTAGTCATTCATGTTAATAACATCAGTCAATTATTCAACGTTAGAACATGTTTTCATTAAAGAAATTTTTGTCAGAATCGAAATATCTATGTAGACTTTACCTTTAAGTATATCAAGATTATTGAAACTTACAGAAATGTTAACGTTTCACATTTATAAACTTTATTTTCAAATTTTTCTATAAAAATATTTTCGTGAGTTTTTAAGACATTAAAGAAATTACATGACGTTCGTTTCTTTATAAGTTCACTTATCAAAACTTTAATTCAATATTTAGAATTCAACACAATAACCATACTCAATTCTTACCGCTGTAGCTAAATAAGTTGATGTTTGTGAAAATTCAATAAAAATAATTGTCGTTTTTGCATAATGAAATGGTGCTTTGAGAATACTTTCTAACGATAAAGCATCACATAATGTCAGCTGTCCATTCGCATAACCAACAGCAATAAAACTCGCATTATGATTATAACGTAATTGTGTAATAGCATTATCATGTGTATGTTGAACACTTGTTATGATTGTTTTTTGTTGATAATCCCATAATTGTAAACGACCAGATGCATTAGCAAAACACAATTTATGATCAAATGGATGAGTATCTAATGCATATATAGCTGTTGAAGAATCACGTTTTATAATTGATATCTGTTGGCCAGATTGAGTTACATGAGCTATAACAGCATGAGATGATGATATTGTAAAATCAAACGATGAAAATGGAGGTTGAGCTAATGTTGATTCATTATGTTTATGTGCTAAATTTGATGGCATATACGGAGACGCATAGTCTGATGTTGTATATGTGAATGATATAGATTGAATTGGTCCAACACGAAAATGTTCAAACCACATACGTAATTTAAGTTCTTGATCGAAGAATCGAATCACTCCATCACTATCACCTGTTACGACAAGACTAAGGAAAATATGTTATAGTCATACTTTGTTTTGCTTGATTGATTTGTTTAAAATATATTACTTACTCATTTGTTGCGACTAAAACAGTAATTGCTTTTCGCTGTGGTTCACATAATTTGAATGCTCGTTTATTCATGGAGGAAAATTCTGATCGCTCGTCAGTTTTTTTAACTAAGATAAAAAGTAAATAGACGAGTTTTTCAATCACAGAAAGTTACTTTCTGATCAGATATCTGTTGAATAATAATCCAGAAAATCTTTGATACTTCTTACTCAACGTAAACAATAAAAGAAGGAATCATTCATGAAAGACATTCACTTAACAATTCCATTTTTTGATCCTTTACTATTTCGCACCTGTTTTGATCGATATCTATTCTTACCCCACATGACCTCGAATTTAAAAAAATCTTTCTTTTCAGATGGAATTTATTTGTCCAAAGACGACGTTTTTTATTTAATAAGTCATAGAAATCGATGATTAATTCGCATATGATATTGATAAGTTATCGTTGTTGAAGTATCGTTTAAAATTAATTTAAATCGAAAATACACAATAGGAAATATCATATTTTAAAATTTCTTGATATTCGGATACATACGATTTTCTTATGTTTTTATAAGTTCAACTGTGAAAATTTACTATTGTTTTTGGCGTTCTTTCTCGACAATCTCTAACAGTCTTTTTTTTCTCCTTTAAATGATATTGAGCAAAGTCTTAAATAGTCAACTAATGATTAACTTAGCAGTGCAAGAGACAAAGAATAAATTTCCAAAAAATGAAATCAACAAACAAACAAACAAACAAACAAACTGTACCATTCGTCTTTTCTGGTGGTTCAATAAATGTTACTTGTTTTTCAGTTTTCTCTTCGTCGTCTTGATCACTTTGTTCGTTTGTTTTTGCTGAAGACTTTCTTGATGATAAAGTTCCGCTACGTGTAGATGTTGATGATTTTAATGTGTCACGTGTTAATTCTCTATTGTCTACCATTTTTGTTGATTGACGTGATAAATCATTTTGTTTTATTTCATTTGTTTGTTTTTTATTCATTTCGAATGCATTTCCATTTGTTTTACAATCCCAAAGAACAAGTTTGCCAGTTGTCGTACCTGTCACAACTCGCGTTGGATGAAGAAGAAAAACTGATTGAGTTAAATAGCCAAGTTTTTCACGCGGTGTATTAAATGTCTGAATAGAAAAACGAATATATTTTTATTTTCTACAAATAAATTTCGGTTTTTTTAAATTGTTTTTACTCTTTCGCTTAATTCTGGATCATAATAATTTATACCATTCTCATGTGACCATTCATAAAAAATAACTTGCGTTGTTGAATTCGATACTAACTGAGATGATTGACGAGAATTAAATTGTAAATAATGCTGATTTGAATAATCATTTCTTAATTCTAATGCACATAGTGGTCGATCACTTTCCGCTGTCCAATCCCATATTGACATTATCTATTCAATATTTAATATTAATTTTCTGCAAAAAAAAAGAGTCTGTGAAAGAAAATTTTACTTGAGGAGCTTGCTGACTCATTGTTGCTAGATATTTTGCATCATTACTAAATGCTACAGCTCCTGTTCCATTGATAACATCGAAATAAGTTTGATTCGGCAATCTGTATAAACAAGAGATTCAAAAAAAAATCCTCAAAACAACTGGAGCAATTGTTAACAAACCCTGTTATTGTATCCCAAATAATAATTGTACAATCTCGACCACTATCAGCTGTACATAACCAACGCTTATCATTACTAATACAACAACATGTTATGTTATTTCTCTAAACAAAACAAAAATAAAAACAGAAGTAATTGATCTATTTCTCGAAATATCATTCTGAAAGCATATACATGTCCGATTAATAACTGTTGTCGATTATTAGCAAAATCATATAAAACTCCAATTTGTGAAGCAACAAAAAATATTTTTTTTGTATTATTTATTGATAAATTAAGTACTGGTAAATCTTTGTTAAAGCCAAAACACCATTGAAATGACTAAATGATAGATCAAGTAAAAATAAATTAGTTTTCTGCTATTTCTTAAGTTAAATTAAATTAATAAAACAAACCAATATTTCTGCATAAGCTGATGCAGATGTTTCTTCATTTTCATGATCATCTTCTGGTGTTGTTGGATATGGCGGAGCCTCCGGTGGTGATATAGACATTCTCGTTATTTAAATAAATTCTTCTTTTTTTCTTTTTGTTTGAATACTTCTGCCATTCGTCACTTTGTTTCTATAGTTACGCTCACTAATAAAGAGTGCTCGTAAGAAATTGAAAGCAATCAATATATGATACATAATTATTAAAAATCTTAAAACGAGTCTGATCTATTCATTTCCTCATATATAAAAAATATCCTTACCATATCAATTAGGATTATAAAATTGAAATGACCATTGTGAATTAGCCAATCGTGCATGAATAAGTTCGTTCCTTGTCTTGTCGTTCTCTTTTTTTGTCACTTCATCAAGGCACTTTTCTAATAGAAGACAGAAAATCTTAATGGAAGACGATGAAGATGATTTTTTTGCTTATCAAACAGCCAAATCATTAAATAATAAACGAACACAGTTGAAGCAATTTTTTCAAGCGTAACTTATTCTTATTTGTCACTTCTTCAATAAAATAATAAAATAAAATAATTTCATTTATTTAGTCCAGTTACTTCTAGACAATCATCGAGTTCCAGTAATACAGATTCTGACAGTGAGCATGATTTAATTTCAACAAAAAAAAACAAATCAACATTTGTGACTATTCCTATACAATCGATTCTTATTCAAACTGAAACAATTGAAAAAAAAGATTTAATTAAGAATGAAATTGATGCCATCGTTACATCATGTTTTACATCGAAAAATAAAGAGGTTAAACGAAAAATTAAATTAGGAAAACGAACTCTAGCAGATGATCAAGAATATGAAGATGAAGATGAGTATCTAATGGATGTTGCACAGCAAAATAAAAATGTACCTATAAGCAGGTAAAATTAGATTTAAAATAATAAATGAAAATTCATTATTATTATTATTATTTCTCATTTCAATATTTTATCTTTTTTTAGAGCAAAAATGAATTCATTAAATAAAAGTAAATTAGACGACGATGATGAAAAAGTTACACGTGAAACTGCTGCTTATACTCGATTGGATGCTGTATTACGTGTTACCAAGCCCTTATGTGAAAAACAAATTCAATCAGTCGACGATGATGATTACGAAGACTATGAACCAATAAAGATAAGTAAGAATCTATCGTTTCAAATACAAACATACACCTGGATGAATGGACTACTTCGATATGAAGTGTTAGTACCATGGTTCGAGTCTTTCTCTCGGCACACAAAAGAAAGACACTATGATTAATGTTCTAGTTTCGATATTGATTTTCCTTCAATGAAGGTCAAAAATAAGAAATGAGAATACATACGAACGGGCGGTATGAGTGTCTTCGAATAAAAATTTAAATAAGAAAAAACGTCATGTTAACCAATGGATGATCATTCAACTTGCCCTCTCTAAGAAAAGCAATGCTGAGCCAATCCCAACGGTACATACCTCTGATGGTTAACAACAAAAAGACGTTAATTTTTTTAAAACTCCTTTTATTATTTTTTTAATACATTCTAGCAACATCAAGCAGTACCGATACTATCGAGCCAGTGAGTCCGGTAAAATCATCTTTATTAAAAACGATAACATTAATAATTGACCATTCTGACGGAAGACAATTAAATCTATCAGTACCATCATCAATAACATTGAAGAGTCTTTCGGAGGATGTAGCTGAACGCTTATCTTTACCATCAATTTATCTTGTATATAACAATCAAACATTAAAATTAGATGACAATAATCAATCCATGACATTGCAACAATTAAATTTTTCATCGAATGATACTCAACTAGAATCTTATCCATTAGTACGAAAAATGAATATATTTATTCAAACATCTGCAACTTCAGGTAATGTATGAAAAGAAAATCGATTAAAAAAGACAAGACTAAAATAATCTTTCATAATTTAGCTCGTCGTTCATCGCTCGTATCCAAACGTGAATATACAATACTGGATACTGATCGCTTTGAAATAATATTTGATGCATATAAGCGGGATATGAAAACAAATAATATTCGATTTGAATTCGATGGTGACACACTTCATCCTCATGCAACACCCGTTGACTATGATATAACTGGTGGAGAAATTCTTGACGCATTTATTTTACCAACATCGAATAATAATAATAATAATAAACAAAAGAATGAATTGAAAGCAAAGAAAACAAAAGAAATTATTTTCGATAACGATTCAGATGATTGATTAAAATAATTTCTAGTCACAATAGATTGTTATATTTCTGTGCATAGATGTTATTTTCTTTTCTTTTTCTTTTTGACTGTACTGATGAACTTTCATTACGATTCAATTTATGATTAAAGATCTGAATATGAAAACGAGATGTTATGTCTATTATCTAATTTTATTTTGTTAAATAAAGCGAATCATATTATACAAGAAAAAAACATTTTGCACTTCGAAATTTTATTTTCTTTTCAGACGATGTTTCCAATTTCATTTTCATGTACGAACGCATCTTTTTAATTGCTTGATTTAAGTTAATAAGAATCTTTATTCATAAATATAATATCTTAGTACATAATCGTAAACAAATTTGATTTCTTATCACTTCTTTCATAACTGTTCAATCATTTGATTCTATTTCGATATGTTATAAGACACACTATCAAAAGATCTATATTCTTTGAGAATACAATGCAAAAATGAAAAAGTCTTTTCTTCGTGTTGTCATATGCATGGCAATTTTTAGTCTTTTAGTTTTAGCTTCTTTTCATTTCTCGGCCAATAATATTTCAGGCTTCCACGAAAGAACTTGAATATTAGCCATTTGCTGATTATACTCATTACGGAGAAACTTATTCTTTTCTATGATGCAAAGATCGTTTACTTAAGCATAGTTTTTTTTGTCTAGTTGTTTAGATTACTTTTGATATTGTAAATAAAATTTTAGTTAAACATTGCTTAGATTTTTTTAAAGAAAATAAAATATTATTTTCACAAGAATGAATAGAATTTAAAAAGCAAAATTTCTCTTGTATATAACGGATATTTGTTAACAGTGTCAGGAAAGAAAAATTTATTCGACTTTTACATTGCTATTTCATAGAATTATGATCTTTTTAGTATTGTATATTATGGTTCACAGGGGAAAGTATAAAAATATTCATAGCCTTTGAAAACAAGAATCGTAATCTACATCATCTTAACGATTTTTCACGAACCTATTGAAATCCGACTGGAAGGAGTGGAGAATCTGACATAGTTATTAGCTAGTAAAAACAATCAAAAACTCATGAGAGCATGTTTTATGTGTTGCCTACTTTCAATGTTTTCCTCTTTCATGATCTATTTCAATTTGAGTTATTGAATACTAATAATCAAATAGCTAAACACGTTCTTCTAGATCGAAGTTTATTCTTGTTTTTAATGCTTCACTAAAAATGAACTGTGTCGATTTTCTTAATGGTATGACAATACAATTTGAATAGTTACTATAAACAACAGTATATTCTAAGACAAACTCTACACAATACGTATCTCATACTAATGTACATGGACACAATCGAAATTTGGCTCTGAGTTACTGTAGTGTTATAATTTCATTGAAGTAAATGTGAAATAAATATCTTTAGCATTAAACAATTCAAATTGTTCATTTTGATAATTATTCCAGCATTCATTTCATTATTAACCAATGAACAACAAGAGAATATGATAAATATCAAGCAAATGATTCTCTATGCATCATTTTATATTTGTTTCCTTGGTATTAAGTAGATTTATTTTTGTCAATATATGGTAATAGAAGATGAAACTAACACAATAATATGATGAAAGCGATGTTTGATTCGAATTCGTTAAGCTCGAAACATTTTCAGTGATTTCTGTGATTATTTTAGAGGATTTGTCGATTGACGATTTATTGATGATGGTGACATTTCAGTATATCTGAAGTGGTATCCAGAATGTTCTGAGTAGAAATTTTATCTTTGAAGAATTTTCAGGTTATGATTATTTCTAGAAGAAACATGTTTTACAAACTGAAATTTTCAGTAATTCTACAATTAACACATAGGGCTGCTAAAAGAAAAAAAAGTTGAATTGAACTCAATGGCAATAGCGATGCTGTTAGTCTACATTTGCGCTATATTTCGGAGAACGTTCAGTTAGTCAGCGTGTGAGAACAGATTGGATTTTTAAATTTATATCGATTCAAAGAAGTGCTCTAATTTTCACTGACGAAGTTCTTTGCAACAGAATGGATGCAAAAATAAGAGACGATCAATCAAACTTTTGTACTTATTTGATCCGAAAAACAATATTTCAGACACTTCGAAATAGTCTGCACCAATCTGGCAGGTTAAAAAGGGCTAGAGGCTATTTTCTATCGATTTACCGTTACTCTTTCCAAAAATAAATTGTAACAAAGGAAAAAAATCATGAATAAACAATAATCAAGGGACATTTTTAAATTGTTTTAGCCACATCGATCACATCATCAGGAATGAAAATGAGAAGAAAAACATCGTACATTGTAAACAAAACTTACCTATATAAACAAACATACACACGGCTAAAATAATATATATTCTCTTGTTTTTTCTATAAATATTATCAAGAAAAAAGTCGTAATCCCTATCAAACATATCATATGCCACGACAAAGATTATCGAGCAATGTTTTAAATCGACTCAAATCTCGCGTAAGCCATAATAAAGATATTGAAATTTTTGACATATTAATGTAGTTCTTAGGTCATCGTTATCAACCATTGGACGCTATTGAAGATGAGGACTATGTTTTTTCATTATCTTCTTCTGATGATTCTCGAAGAACATCTTATGAAAGTGATATTTCATCATTTGAACAACAGCAAGTTACAAATGACCTCAATAATATATCCCAAAATGATAAAAAAAACTATTATGGTCCGGCAAAACGAATAACATCGAAAAATTGTCGAGAAAAATTTGAAATTTTTTATGAAATTCACAGTGGTTTCACGGCAGACCAAGTGATATTGATTGAAAATGCTTTACAGATTGTTGCTGATAGATTCTTCAAACCAGAAATTTTAAAAAATATGTATCAAATTTGCGGTAATTCTGGTTGTTTGTTAACACATGGAGTATTGTCACAGTCGAATTTAATACAAAATTCAATTTATTTCAATAGATATCTACTGTTACAATACCAACTGATTTGTTTGAATCATCAAAGTCAAAATGGTGAAATTTCAATTATTAATATTTATCCAGTTCAGGAAAAAAGCCAGAGTGAAAGTAATAATTCTCATCCATGTATTTTTTGTATTTCGCATGGATCAACATTTTTAATTGATGGTGAATTCGAAATCGAATTGAATCAAGATAGACTGAATGGATCAGTTAAAAACAGTTCAAATGCGTTATTTTGGGCTGGAGAAATCGTTTATCAAATGCTTCACAATCTTGGTCATCGATTTAAGGACAATGATTGCACGAATCGATCACAGATTCAGATTTTCAAACAGTGTTTTCTACATGATGGTAATTATATTCCTATGAAAACTAAATAAAATTTTCTTAGTTTCAAAAGATAGACGAAGTTTTTTTGTTTGTTAATGAGATTAAATCTTTTGATCGATACTTGTTATGATTTATTATAGGATATTTAAATAAATGTGTTGATATTGATAACTCTTTAAAGAGCTACTTATCAAGAAAATACAGTCATATTCATATTTATCTTGAGAAACGTTCAAAGTATTTAACACAAACAAAAAAGTTCATAATTAAGCAATTCATATTATTGTGCGCTCTTAACTATTCGACTGAACATTAGTTAGTGCGATGAGAAATAAAATAATTCTATTGTGAAGCTAACTAAAACATACTACATAAATTCAGATCCGTCTCTATTCGTGTAATAAATATAAAATTTCCCGAGCGTCACGTTATTAATTTACTAAAAATTAAAATGTAAATAAACACTTATAAAGAACCAATTAGTTCGCTCGTCAGTAAAAAGATTTCATTATTAATTTTGTCATTGGGCTTTTTCGCTTTTGGATAATCGTTAAAGCATTATAATCCATTTACCCAACGATTTTGCAATGGTCAAGTAATTTAAACAGCAAGACCATTTTCCCAGTGCGACAACTAGTAGCTTCGTAGAATTAGAAAAAATGTTTTATCGTTCAACATTAGGAATGAAAAACATAAGTTTCAGATATACGTATTTGATACATTGTTTTGCTATTAATGTGTACCAAATGTATAAGAACATTAAATGCGCTAGTTAACTTTATTTTTCACTAACTTAAAAAAATTTAACTTTTTACATTGGTAAACAATGTTGTAGATGATTTAGATCGTTAGTTTTTAACGCAACTCTGTCACAATATTGTCAATTGAGAATATTGAATATTTTTCATAACGTATCAAAAATTGAATGATTACAGCCACAGATATCATACTTATGCTGTTGCAATACTTTGCATAATTTTAAACACATAACAAAGCTGAATTCATTTTTTATGTTGATTTTTACTTTCGAATTTGTTAAAACGAAATATTAACTAGAGATTTGCAAATGCTACTAAGAATTCTACAGTGAATGAAAGATCATTTTGTATCAGTAATCAGTTAAAAAATAAACAAAACTGTAGCGTGTCATTGAGATATTCTTTTAATATTAAAAACAAACGCAGTATTTTTTTCCCTCCTTTATGTAAGGTAAATAAAATTTAAAAATAGAAAGCGTTTATTCATGAAGTTACAAGAAAACTTCAACATACGCACATATACAAACTCACTTATAAGTAAGGGAGAAAAAATAATGTGAGAGAAGCAGAGTTTTTCATCTGAAAAAAAATCCCTTTTTCAATTTTTTACCAAGAAAAAAAAATAATGTTTATTCTTTCGTTTGTAGGTGAACCTTTTTTTTCGTGATTAGTCTATGTGGTTTCTTTCCCACAATAATTATTTGTTTCTACTCTGCTGAGAATAGACAACTTTCACGACAATGTTATGATATATTCATTTTATTTGTAGGCACATAAAATAGTGACACAGCAATATTTAGTTGATATATTTAGATTTAGATGGCCGTTATTAAGTAAAAAATACTGCATTAAAAGGCTTGAAATAATGCACAATATCAGTAAAATTTTGCAGACTAAATGAAAGAGCAAGTTCGTTCTAGATTTTCAGATTGTACATTGATGTGTTTACTATTCCGATGTTTTTAGTCACAATCCAAAAATGAAGTTAATACTATTTTTTGCAATCGTTCAAGTAATCTAAATGTAAATTTCATTCGAATCATCACTGGTCGAAGAAATTATAATTTAATAAAAACAAAAGATAATCTATTTATGTCGTCAAGTATATCGAATTACATTTTTAATGAAGAATATTGTAGACCCTTTACATACGTAAATCTGTTGATATCTGAGAGATGGCAATCTGACTCGAAATTTTCGACAGCATTAAATAAATATCTGAAGTAATTAATAAAAAATGTAGTTCATCAAGATTTATTTCGTTGTTCCAAAATATTTTCAGATTTCTTTGTAACATATTCCTAACGACAACTTTTAAGATTGTGAAAACTATTCATCGTTTTTCTAGTTACAATACAATTCATGAGAATAGACGATTATATAGTAAAATTCTATTTTATAAATATTTCCTAAACAATCAAAGAAAATATCAATATCAACATGAACATGTGTAGCCACACGACATAATTTTCAAATAATAACGTTGAATGAAAATTATTATCTTGCCGTGTTAAGCAAGTTACTAACTTAACATTATTATTTTATTCATGAATAAAGTTGCTAGACATTGTCGCTTGTTTGACTTACAGATTCAAGTTCATCGTATATAAATATAATTACTTTTTGTCTTTTCTATCACAAGGACATCGTTATATTCATCAGTCAGAGAAGAAAATCAAAAAATCTATTATTATTTTTCTACTATTAATATGCATGTTTCTCAATGTCGAATCGAACGAAAAGTAAGGGAACTATACGTTTGTCTTTGTTGGGAGCAAAAACGTTTCATCATGATAATAGCACAAGTACTTATGCCTATTTACACTTGAATAATCTAGTCAATTTTCTATTCTTCTATTTCAATTGTATCAGTGTCGAAAATTTTCGACTGCCTAATATAGTCTACGTAAACTGTTGTTGGTACTAATCATGAGAAGTCTGTCGATTTTCAACTTTTTATATGTTTCTAGACGTAATTGCCTATTGAATCAAGTTTATATTCTTTAAAAACCCGCGCTTATATTATTTTTTACGATTCTGATATGATGAATATTTCTTTCAAGAGTGTCGATCGATTAAAAACTCATAAGTATTACAGTCAGACTATGACGAAAAAATGTAAACATATTATTTTGTTAGCTGTTCCTGAAATCATAAAGATATTAAATCAAAATAATCTCTGAAACTCCTCAGATAATTAGAAAACTCCTAGGTAATGTTTAAAAAGTAACATTAAATATTTATATTTGAATTAAAAGTAATTCGAACACGTTCACATTTAGTATTTACGACACTAACTTTGATAAATCATTAGACATAATAATTAATGTAAATCGAAAAACACCAACATGGTTTAAGATAGATAATTAATATTAAAAACTTATTTTAGATGTAATTATTTTTTTAATTTCACATTATAAGTTCATCTATGAGTGTCCCTATTTGAATCCTATTCAAAATGGAATACCTGTGTTTCAAAGGTCACTATACAATTTCTCAAAAATTCATTATGAGTATTGTCTACATCAATGTGATAACGAATTTGAATCCTTATTACAATCAGATCAGACTAGATATCAAATATTGACTCGACGCGTACCAGTCAGAGCGTGTACTTCAACTTTGTTTGGGTAAAATTAGACTCCGATTCAAAACCAAATTTATCCAATTAAAACTGTTTTCGGTATAATGAGCAATGATTTTATAGATGAGTTATTGTAAATGGTAACTTCTACCATGAACAATGTATAAAATGTATGACAGTTTTGATTTAATTTTCTAAGCATCGTTGAATGGTTCTCAATAATATTTTAAAATCACGTTTTCAAAACGAATCAGTTCAATATGATTAAAAACACAAATCAAATCTATCCAAGCCGTGCAGTACAAACTCAATAATTGACATTTAACAACCGCATTTTGTCGTATACAATGGTCTAGTATCATGACGGTACTTTTCCGTAGTCGTATATCGTAGAAAACTGACGAAACACGAAAGTCGTACATGAAGCACTAATCATCATAAATTATTGAATATTTTCTCAGTACGATGTTGAAAGATTTTCTTTCAATTAGATTTATCAACAACACACTGATTTTCACCTATGTGTTGTTTTTTCTTCCTCGTAAAATAATTAAATCGAAAATAAATAACTAAATAAAATAATGAAATTACTTGATTTTAATTAAATTTATCAATATATATATATATATATATATATGTGTCGTAGGCCAAACTAAAGTTTGAGTTTGGACTAGTCCAATCTTGAATTGATGCAATTCTATTCAGTAATATATAAATAAATTTTTAGATAGACTTTGGATTTAAGCAATTTTTTGAAATCATATTCATACGATGCCAATTTGCTTTGCACAATAGTTTTTGGAAAGATTAAAGTAAAATTTTAGGAGTTATCAATAAATTTCTGCAGGAGAACAAGTTTTATGAAAAATTGTTAATAAGTTTTTGAGTCTAAATTTAGCCTCTTGGTGAATGTTTGTAATACATAAAATGATGTTACCTGAATATGATTTCAAAAAAATGCTCAAATCCAACGTCTATCTAAAAATTTATTTATATATTACTGAATAGAATTGCATCAATTCAAGATTGGACTAGTCAAAACTCAAATTTTAGTTTGACCTAGGCCAATTTAGGATTGACCTACGACATATATACATGCTTCAAGATCAACAGAATAATATTGGAAAATTGGAAAATATTCGCTATGAATAGAAACTCGATGAATAAAAATGATCTAATATAAACTAAACCAATAGATTAAAATATACTGTGTCCATCGTATTTTTTCGAATTAATTAACTGAATTCAAATCTTCATCTTTATAGCTATTCGTTATGGCGCAGTTTCGGATGATTGTAACATAAAACTAGTATAATAAGCGAAATCAAAACGGACAAAGGTGGCGTAACTACGTGTTGTATATTGATGGTTGAAGCTCTTCAATGTACGTATGTGTGTATTGATAATACAAAAATTATCAAAAAAAGCCATTTAAATGAACTGACAACAATTTTTCAATGAAGTTACTAAGGGTTACATTGCTACACATACCATTACACTACTTCTTTTTTCAATATATTCAACAATGCTCACACATTTTCATCAAGAATTTCTAGAGGTTTCATGTAAGATAATTATATACAATCGTGCACACATCACCAACGTTGGTATCAGTATTTTTAATAGGATTTCGAAGCAGTGTACACGTACACCCTGCTAAGTCAAAAATTTTATTTTCAGAGTGTACTTCATAGAAAAACAAAGTGTGCTCTCAAAAAACAGAGTGTACGTACACTTTGTTCTGCTGGGGTACACTAATCATTAAAAACACTGATTAGTATGGGATCACATTCGATAACCAATACAATTTACTGCATCTTTTAAAACGAGACGTTTGCATTTATGTCACATCATAGTGATATGTCGGACACTTCATTAATTTCTTTAGGTAAATGGTAGTTCAAATATGTACATGGTTGACATTCGTAATTACAAGAGAAATATGTATTTATCGATGTTAATTTTTAATGAAAAATCAGAATATCATCGAATGAAATACTTGCAATATGAGAGGGCGCACATATCCAGTCGTGACGTTATAAACATATTTTGTTACTCGTTCGTTCATGTCTAATCATATATGCAGATCATCCGATTGATTACTTGAACTATTTGATTTCTTTTTATCCAACAAGAAGCGGTCGGAATGAAATGGCCGGTACACTTCGTCTTCGGTTCGATTTTTAATTGTTATCTGCTATTTAATTTTATGAATTTTTCTTATAGAGAACACCTTCAAGAAGTAATTTCACTACTTTCGAATGAATCAAAGACTTCATCGCTTCCACTGAATGACAATAAAGAAGACGAAGAAGAAATAGCATTTACAGATTTAGTAAAATAAGAATTATAAACGTTTTAGAAAAAATTCTTGTTAACTAACGATAATTTCTTATTGTTTTTTTTAAAGAATTTTACGAAAAATTCAAATAAAATGACAACAAATGTGATCGATATAGTTGATCCCATTGATTATGAAGAATATATTGATGAACATCGACAAAAAATTGTCAACGATCCATTACATCATTTACTTGAATATCCAAATGATGACATTGATTTTATTCGTATTGATCGACAATATCGTACTATTATTCCAATTATGCCCGAAAAAGAGTTCGAATACTTGGAAATATTTTAAAATACAATCAATGTGACTTTCTTCTTTAGAGCTTTGAATGATCCACACATTCGTGACTGTTTACAAAGTTTTAATGGTGAACATTTTTTTCTTCGTCGAAAGTAAATCGTTTTCTGTTTTTAGTATATTTATCTTTTAAAGAAATTTAATATTTTGTTTACGTTGTTGAAGTTATGTTCATCATGCCAGTGCAATAACATTATTAAATATTCGTCAAGAACAAATGCAAGCTTTAAAACAAATAACAAAACAAGATTATGAAGTTGATTTAATTGATGATAATCGACAAATTTTGATTGACCAAGAAAGAGTAAATAATTCTTAATACATTGCCAATTATTCTAAAATATACAATTGATCTTTTTTTAGGATAGTCCAAGAAAGTTAGCTACTAATGATTCGTCAATTAATCCAATTAAAAGTAGTTGGATTTTGGCAAAAGATGATTTAGATAAAACAGAACCAGATACAATAATGCCTCATTTGAGTAGGAATATAGTAGAAGGGTTCATTCTCTTTTTGATTTAATTTTTTTTTCTTTATTTTTAGTTGAACGTATTCCAATAGAAAGTGTAGATAAAGAGAATGAATTATTACGTGGAAAAAATCGTTATTCAAAACTATTTAGTTCTTATCCACCTCAAGCAGACGTAAGTGTACCAATAATAAAATAAAAAATAAAGAATAAAGAATTCATTTTCATTTTAAACGAAGTCATAAAATAAAAAGAAACCAATTTCAACATATTGATTAAAAAAACGTATCGAGGTTTAGAATTCTTAGTATCAATTTATTTATCTATTATTAATTTACCTTTTTATACAAGAATAAATATAACTAATGTTCATCGATCGATATAATATTAAATTTAAATGTTTGAAAATTTGGTTTCGCCTTTAGCTCACCATTGTTTGTCGACTAAAGAGTCCATCTCGAAAAGTTTTCAAGAATTTCAAAAAACATCAGACGCTACTATAATTATATTTATATGATACTCTTATTTATAGATACAGACGACTTGGCTCGATAAAAATAAATTGGTGACAATATTATAATCTTCACTATATCCATTTGAGTATTAAACGAGCACTGAAATATCCTACATGCACTTTTCTAGAAGTCAGTGTTTTTCATAGGCTAGTCGAATGAAAGTGCAGAGTTGATAGTAGCTAGGGACGATGATCAGTTGAAGTTTGCTCAAATTGATTGGCTGTGTAGAGTTGTAGGTTTTTTTTTGAAAATCTGTTAGCAAAAAAAAAGTAATGACCAATGAAGGCTCCATTCCGACAAAAAAAAAGCTTAGAGCTTTTCACGTTTGATGGGCTAATGTTTCAGTTTTTCTCTCATGTTCAAGGCACATTCAGAAGCTGAGTGTTATCACATTTTTGATTGTCCATCTAATTTCAGAGTATGATAATGAAATCGCCCGTATCTTATCAGATATAGATTTTAATTATTTCGAAATTATAATGAAAGAAAAAATACACTCTTTTTTCTTTGTTTATTTCATAGACTGATTGCATTGAATATCGTTCGCCAGCTGAACCACTTCAACCATATACAACATTTAAACTTCAAGTTAAATGTTTAGATTTCAAGTAAAAATTCAAAGAAATATTTTTTATAATTAAATTTTGTTTATGAACTTAGATTTGAACCTGAAATCGAGCCGATTTTTATTACATTAGCATTATATGATTTTAAAGAACGGAAAAAAGTACGTTGAACTATATTTGATTTAAATGTCGAATTAATTCAAGTAATTTTAGATATCAGAGAATTTTCATTATGATTTAAATAGTGATGCGTTAAAACAAATGATTCATATTCGGCCAGCCGTTGATGGTTCAACATTAAGTCTTTCGGCTATTTTTCCAATATCATTTCCATCACCTGATATTTATCTTATTATTCGAGTAAAAATCATAATCTGTTTATTAAAGGAAAACGAACTTTTTAATCTTATTTTCAAAATTTTAGGTCGAAAAAGTTTTACAACAAGGTGATTTATCTGATTGTGCTGAGCCATACATGAAACAAGATATTAAAGTAAATAGATTTGTATTACGAAAGATAGACATCCTTTCAGGCTAAATATTGTTTTTTGTAAGTGCAATTTGACTGCTACAGGCAATTTTTCCTATAAAAGCTCTATACTAGTTTTGGGGCAAAACTATGGAAAAATTGTTTACGAACAGAAACATGTTTTTTTTCTATCGACTCCTTAGTATTATTTCGAATGCAACATGTGACGAGAAAGGTATTTTTTTGCTTTTTGATATTCATATAATACAATTCTATAAACAAACGACCTTTCATCAAATTCAGAACACGTTTGAAAAACACATTCTCAATTGATAAAAGTCCATTTACCCGAAGCATATCCACAGGCATTCTAAACTTCACATGGTGCATTTATTCTAAAGAAACGAATGCAAAAATATATAATATTTAGAAATAAATTTAAAAGATCGAAGGGATATACTACTTGTAGACGATAGAATCAATGAATGAAGTAATCCTCTGCATCATATTAACTCGTACATATCAAGGCGAAATCAAACAAAAGAATATGAAAACATACTTATTATATGCTGTTATTCTCGGCATACAACGATTCAAATAAATATTATTCCTTTAGGGCTGACAAAGTAATATGATCGTTACTTGCTTAAATATCTTTTATTTCTACTAGTTGTAATGGTAGAAAAAAATCAAGGATTTCTCTTTTAAGAATATTTTATTTCTTGTGTCTTAAATGGATTTAACTAATGGCTGCTGTTTTCTAAAGACATTATTTCTCCTTGATGTTACCATGAGTCAAGCATTTCTGTGAGAAATGTAAAAAAGTTGCCTATTTTCAAGGATATTCTTCAGTCCTCTATTCACTACTTACATAACATCGAACCTCATCAACTTAGATTCACAAATGGACAAATATAAGTATGTGTTCGAGCTTGAAAAAATCTACTTCATTTAATTTCTGTTTATATCAAGTTGAACTCTTTTTTTCTCGCAAATATTTTTCAGCTACTGATAAATTTGTCAATATCGAAAGTTAAATACCTTCTTGAGTTTCTTGTGCTTTTTCCTTGCATATTGAAAATAGTTGAATTGATTAGAATTTCAAATTATACGCATTACTTTACGGATAATTCCTAATATATATAGTTAGATGAAATCAAATTTTTATTTGATATAATCATTTTAGAATCAACAACGATACCATGAACAAGCAATACAGTTTTGTCAACGTCTTGGTCGTTTTCGTATGCCATTTGCTTGGTCAGCAATTAGTTTACGAGATATTCTTAAAGAAATTGAACAAGAAACAATTTTGTCAACTCATGCTAATACTTTACCTGCTAATGCAGAATTAATAAATTCAACTATTAAAGCTTCTAGTCTTGGTATAAATAAGCATACTTAATTTTAAAAATAAATAATTCGATTAATATTCTTATAGAAAGAAGAACAATTGGTACAGGTGGTATTCGAAATGCTTATGAAAGTTTTCGACGTTCGCGTGATGAAAGTTTAACACGAAATAATTCAAAACGATATGAAGATCGACAAATTCCAACATCATCACCAACATCTACATTATCATCAACAAATACAAATCTTTCAACACCATCGGACGAATTTTTTCATATACTTGCAAATTTTGATCGACCAATTACTGTTACACTCAAAGGAGTTTATAAACAAGTAAAATTATAATTATCTCATTTGATCTTGTAGTTTTTTATTTTTTTTTAGGAAAGCGAAAGATTAAATGATGAAGATATTTTCAAATTTCTAACTGATTTTCGAAAACCACCAACTTTAGCAAAAAAACCTAAAACTATTCCAGGTAAATGAACAAAGAAAAGGTCTTGAAATGAAAGAAAAACAGAAATTATTAAACAAAATTCATTTAGCTTTTATTCGATTGGAATTTAATCAAATTCATCCAGGTGATACAGTTGATTGTTGTCTTGATCCTCAATTAAATCGTTTAAAACCTTATACTGATGATACAAGACGTCCAATAAAAGAATTACTTGAATTTCCACCACGTGAACTTTATTTACCACATATATCTTATAGAAATCTTCTTTATATTTATCCGTTATCTCTTAATTTATCTAATTTAACAACACGTGGTTCAACATCTGCGAGAAATATTGCTGTTAAAATACAATTAATGGGTGGCGAGGAAGAAATATTTGCTTTACCATTAATATTTGGAAAGTCATCTGGACATGAAATGATTAAAGAAATTTATTTACCAGTTTTATATCATTCAAAATCACCATCGTTTTATGATGAAGTTAAAATGCGTCTTCCAGCTGTGCTGGATGAAAATCATCATTTATTTTTTACTTTTTCACATATCAGTTGTCAACCCAAAGAAAATGCGCCTATTGAGACACCGATTGGATATACAGTAAGAATGAAATCGAAAATGTTTCATCCTATTTATCTATTGTATTTTTAGTGGCTTCCAATGTTAAATAATAATCAACTTGTACATGGAGACTTTAATTTACCAGTGGCCTACGAAAGACCACCTCATAATTATTCACTAGTGCCTCCAACGGTAAAAATATTTTTTTCGTTAAACATATTTATTTAAAGTGTTGACAACGTGAAATATGAGCGAAGGTTTTTTAAAATTTTTGTGTCTTCATTGTGTAAAAATGATCAAGTAACTTGTAGAAAATGTTTCTTTTGATATAGTCAGATGGCATTTTTATTACCAAAGCCAGCTTAATTAGATTTACAAAGGTGAGAAGATTTGATAGAAAATGAAATATATCACAACGATGACGTCCTGATAATCCACATATTTGTCTAAGTTCGTTGACAACATTCATTAAATGCGCAGAATAATATAGAAGATAATTTCTCAGAAAATTGATCTGTCCGATATCAACTAGTCGAATACTAAAAGTTCATGTGTATCTTCGACGATTTAGATGACCAGAACTTCAGTTTTCAATCAATCAATTATCATATTTATGATTAAGACAGAAACAAAATCTGTATTGAATATTGGTGTCACTATGTGAGACTAGCAGCTTGTTTGAATTTCAAAATTAATCGAAGTAAAAACTCAAACTATTTGAAAATAGTATTTAGATCATATAAATTTTGAAATTGGATTAAAACCAATCCCTAAAATTGATGGTAATGTTCGACGCAGATTTTGTGTTGATTCTAAGTATAATATTTCTTTCTTCTGAGAGCGGAAACTTTTAAATAGTAACTTAAATGTATATTATTTGGATAATTATATTGAACAAATCGATTTTATTAATAATCATGAAAATTGTTTTTAAGTTTCAAATTAATTTTTCTAATTTTTTGTTTCACTTGATTTTCATGACTTTAAAATGATCGTCTGAGGATATCACGTGAAATTATAAATACAGGTAAGTTGCAGAGTTTGATCTAATTATAGCAAAAATTTGTGAAAAAGAATGTTCTATTCAAAATATGAATGACTATTATTAACAGAAAGTTTATTTTTAGAATCATGATGTTAATAATGTCAAATGGGCTGATAGTCATAAACCGCTATTTTCTCTATCAATTCGTCCTTCATCTACAATTCATTCATTGGTGTGTAATTGAAAAAGTTTTTTATTTAATTAAAAAGAATTTATTTTTCTTATTTTTATTTAAAAAAAGGACGAACGATTGGAGAATTTTTTTCATATGTACAATCAACTTCGAAAACAAGCTTATTCATCTCATCATCATCATCATCATCATCCTCATTATCAAATTACGGATAAAGATTTTAAACAAGCAATCATGGATACTGTTTGGGCACAACAAGAAAAACTTGTTCAATTTCTTTATATTCTTCTTGATACAATTCTTTCATTATTAGTTCGATCACCAATCCTTAATGGACATTTATGTAAATATCTTTTGCTTGCTTTTTTTTAAAGACCATTTCATCCTTCTATATAATATCAATGTAATCGAGTGTAGGACACAAGTAAATGATTATCCGTTTGCTTTACTATGAGAAATAAAAGAACAACCTTGGTAATAATATGTTTCAATACAAAATACGTATTCGATCTTTTTCGATGAGTTATTAAGAGATATGTATTGCATAGGTTTCTCATTCCTATAATTTATAGGAGAAGATTTTTCGTTGTATGAAAAATATAAAAACGTTTGTATCAAATTAAAAGTATCACGCCCAGACTAACACACATGACAAACATGAAATACTTATAAGATGCGTAACAAATGAGATATTCGAATATAAATATTATTCTAGTTTAGTTTATGTGTGAAGCATGAAATATTTCAGCAGAATTTAATTTACTCTTTTCTTCCATAATTGAATACAGTTTGTCATGTTATATTAAAAAACAGAAATAAATTTTGCGAGTGTTCAAAATTCTGCTCTATTTTTGATTATGTTCGAATGTAATTGTATTTATTTTCATGAATAGCTCTAGAAAGAATTTGATAATTGCTTGATAATAGACTTTTAAAAATTCAATTTCTAGTAAATGTCAATCAAACATGTTTTGAAACATTAGCAAAAATTGTTCAACGTATTCAACGTGATCTTCTTGCCGATGTTAATGACATACATGGAAGAAATCGTTTACTTTTAACTTATATTCATTACGAATGCACATTGCATACACCAACTGAAACTGGTAAAACTAAGCTTTATCATTTTTTTTACTTTTCGCCTCTTTTAACTGAATAAATATTTAGATATGACTGCTATTTCATCAAAATCAGCGAGTCTTCGTCCGAATTCTCTCTATTTTCAACGCCGTGTTCCGCGTAGTACATCAAATCCTGATTTACCAAGTCCATCTTTATCACCTGAAGACGAATTAGCACTTGCTGCAGCAAATGGCGGTTTTATTTCAACAAGTATATTTATATTCTCACCATTTAGTTTTAGTTTTGTTTTGTTTCAACTTTGTAAAATTTTTTAGGTTCATCATCAGGAAAACAAATGAATGAATTATCTCAGGGTATTATTAAAGATGGTGCTCATCCAAATAATAAAGCATCTCAACAACGGAAAGTAAATAAAATAATTTTGAAATTGATTTTTTCATTTATATTCATTTGTATGACTAGTGAACATATAAAATGTAAGTGAGGGATTAGCTGGGATAAGGGCTTATTGCATATAAAATAATCTTTGATATATATATATACAATATAATCTTATATTTAATTTTAGCCGCTACATGAAGAATTATTATTTCAATGGGTTGTCTCATCAGGTGCAACAAGAGATTTTGCTTTTGGTAATAGTTGGTTCTTCTTTGAATTATTAGTAAGTTTGCTTACAATCTTTTTTTGTATTGTTTTTTTTAAATTTAAAACCTAATACAAGATAAAAACAATGGGACATTATTTACATACAACAAATCGTTTTGAAATTGATCGTCGTCATCGTTTTTCATATCAATTTGCTGATGATATAACTACATTGTTAAGATTGATTATACGTGAATTACTTGATCGGCAACATCATACACAACGTAATGGTATTGACGGAAAAATTCATTGTACACAATTAAATACATCATTAGCATTCTTTATTAATGATTGTTTATCACTTATGGATCGAGGTTTTGTTTTTGGTCTTGTTAAAATTTATTGTAAAGAAGTATGTTGACGTACACTAAAAATTGATTACGATAAATAATTTGTTTGATTTTTTTCAGTTTGATCTTGAAATTGCACATGGTCAACCTTCAGATACATCATATTATATTTCTTTAAAATTAGATTTAATTCGAATCGTTTGTTCACATGAGCATTATATAACACTTAATCTTCCTTTAATACCAATTATTCCTCCATCACCATCACCAAGTATTGGTAGTATGCAATCTTATTCATCAAATAATAATAATAATAATAATAATAATAATAATAATAATAATAATAATAATAATAACAATCTTAATAATACTGGAAATAGCCAACGTACAATAATAATTCAGCAAACTGATTTAACATATGAATATCGTCAAGAACATTATCTTGTTGGAATTATTTTACATGACTTACAAAATGTTTTGTCAAAAAAGTAAGTCTAAGTTAATTTCATCAAACTTTAAGACTTTTATATGCTAAATAAATAGATTTTAGTTTCTATTCATAAGGCTTCCTAATAAAAAAAAGAAAAGAAAAAAGTTGACTCTACGAATCTTATACTCCGCTTAGTTTTTCTTGAACGCGCTTTTATAGCTAACTCTGTACATTACTTCAACAACTGCTATCAATTCACTATCTCGACTCTTTTATTTTTGTTTATACTTGTTGCTGACACCAATATGCAGATATCTATGATTTTCACGTATTAAACACTTCGAAGTTAATATAAACGGTTTTAAGTAGTCATGCAAAATCGTGATAAAAAGAAAATCGCAGCATTTTTAGCTTTGCTTTCAATAGATATGCATACGAACAGATTTATTTCTCAGACAAATTATCATTAGAAGTCAATGATATTTAGCATTTTATATTTGATTGATATTTGCTAGAACAACAAACTAGAACAGTTTCTGCTGAATTCTAAATCTTCAAAAGATTAAAACGTTTATTGACAATTAAAATCCACTAGGAACCACAAAGAAAGACTCCATCCTCCTAGATGAAAATCTTGATATCCCTCTGAATTCTACAGTAACAAGCACATCCATTTATGTACATGAAATATCCACTTTCACGAATATCAGTCTATGGAATACAGTAGAGAGTTGTCGTAAATTTTCGTTGTATTACAGTACAGAATCCTCTATAAGTACGTTTTACGTTGTTTTGTAAATCTCTTTGAAAATTTCGTTGTTCTTTTCTTAGTTCACCATGGCTTCATAGTCGTGCCATAAATATTTTACGAAATGTTCTTTCATGTCATGATTTTGATCAACGTTTATTACTAAATGATGAAAAGAACAATCGAAATCGTGTTGCAAGACTTTATTTGCCACTACTTCATATTATATCGAATAATATTAATAAATTGTTCGATCCAGGCAATGCTTCATTTGGTAAGAAAAACTAGCTATTTTGTTTTAATCTTTTAATTTCATTGTACAAATATTGAATATTGCAATTATAAAAAGAAACTTTTGAGAAGTTTTTCATTTATTTTTATTTCTATCTTCATAGGTCAATTGAATCGTCCATCAGTCACGCCTTCGGATGATCTTCTGTCATCCAAGACCGATGAATTTACAACAGAAAGCGATGGCACATTAGTAAATAATAAATTAATTACTGGTTTCATTCTGAATTTTTAACCTTCACTTTTTTTTGTCTTTCAAAGAAGCGCACATCATCAATGGCAACATTTAGTGAAGAAACATCACGAGATTTATTAATTTGTTTATTATGGTTATTGAAAAATGTTGATTCTTGTGTACTCCGTCATTGGTGGATGCATATGAAACGTGAACAACTTCAAAATTTAATTCAATTACTTGATTTATGTATCGCAAGTTTTGAATATAAAGGAAAAAAACAAATGAAACGTCATCATCGCATTGGTGCCGGTGGACATGCATCAGTTCTTGCTGCAATTTCAACATGTTCATCAACAAAAAAAACTTCTACAATATCAGTTAAAAACCAATTAGAAAAATCAATTATCGGAACTGATAATGCAAGAACCGAAATGTTAAATAGAACAAAACAAAAGAATCCTAATCCTTCAGCTCATGGTAACGAGAGCAAAACAATAAACAGAAAATATCATAATTCGTCTACATTACCATCATTTTTATTTGTAGAACCAAGCAAAAGCACCAGTAATCTTCGTTGGCGTAAAGATCAAACACACTGGCGACAAGCTAATACAGAAAGGTTGACTTTATTTATCTGCATGATTAATTAATGTTCTCAGACTAAACATAACTTAGTTAAGTTATGGAAGAAGAATTTGACAGAAAATATGTTCGTTTAACATGCATCAATGTCTTAGTATTATAAATGATCGAGGAAAAAAGCAATAATTTACCAGAATGTTGATTCTCTTAATTATAATAATAGTTATAAACTAACAGAGGCGTTAAATTCATTTGGAATATTGAAGTAGATAAAAAAATTTAAATAATCTTTTCAAAGTTCTATGTTGGATTTGAAAAAATGTACGAGCGAAGTTTTTGACGCTAGAAGAATTCTAACTAGTGATAAAGATTTTTATTCAATAGAAATTTTAATAGATACGTTCCGATATTTAGAACTTCTGTGTATACGTCAACAACTGTTCAGGGAAATCTTTGGAGCTAGAGAAATTCTTTCATTTGGGAATAAGACTCAAGAAATCTTTCTCTCGTTATATATTAAGAATAATATTTCTTTCGCTCAAAACATCTTTGATTTACTAATGCATAAGAAAGGATTGATATCAAATTTTCTTTTACTCAAATACATGATTGATTCATTGTTCGAATGAAATTCTTTTGAATTAATTGATTACTCTGTATATACAGATAAATGAAGAAAATTTAAATTTTTCTTTATTTTCAAAGCAAAATAAGTTTCTTTGTCAAGATTTTATTTCTGTCTAGCAAAATGATTCATTTTATCTGCAGAATAAATATTTTCATGTATGCAACATTGCTAAAAATAATGAAGTCATTTTTGACAATGTAATATTGATCGAAATGATTTGAATTTTATCATAAGTTTTTCAGATAGTTGAATTATGTATAGTTTTTTAAAATGTATGCATCATGCATTGAAAATCTTTCGATTTCTACAAATAGCGGACATATTTAATCAATCTCAAGTAATTTATCGTTCTCTACTTATAATCCGTGTATTCAATGTAAGATTATAACAATTGATAAGAAGAAAAAAAAGAGCTATGAATTTTGACTATCGCATTAAAAGTGGACTAATAGATCGAAATAAGACAGAGTTAAGTACTTTACATTTGAAATTCCGCATTGCTTTCTTCTTGTAGAAGTGAAGAAGAAATAACAATTGATGCTCATCTGGAAAGTACTCTTGCATCTGAATGTACAATGATTGTTTTAGATACAATCGAAACAATAATACAAGTTTGTTTGATTATTTTATTTTATCGAAAAATAAAAAAAAACTATTCAAGATCTAACGAAAATAATTTTCTAAAATAGGTCGTTCAAACCACAGATTGTCATCAAGTTCTTTTACCTGGTTTACTTAAAATTCTTTTGCATGCATTTGCACTTAATCAAAGTACGTGGACATTACAAAATTTATTTTCGCATCAACGAGCGATTGTTTATAAAGTAAATTAATTCATTTTCATGAAAATTTGGAATGCTTGTTTTTCTTGAATAATTTAGTTTCCTGAATTACTTTTTGAAGAAGACACTGAACATTGTGCTGATTTATGTCTTCGTTTATTAAAACATTGTTCATCATGTTTAAGTACAGTACGAAGTCATGCATCCGCATCTCTTTATTTATTAATGAGACAAAATTTTGAAATTGGAAATGTAAAAAGAAACGATTTTTTGAAAATTATTATCTATAAAAGACATATTTTATAGAATTTTTCACGCGTTAAAATGCAAGCAACAATGTCATTATCATGGCTTGTTGGACAATCTACTTCACAATTTAATGAAATATTTCTACGAAAATCATTACGAACTATTTTAACATATGCTGATGGTGATACAGATTTACAAGAAAGTGCATTTCCAAGTCAAGTGAAAGACTTAGCAACAAATTTATATATGATTTTATGTGATACAGTCAAATTACGTGAAGCTAAAGTTATTATCTATTTGGATTTTAAAAGAATTGTTTTATTCAATGAAATGTTCGATTTATTTAGGACGATCCTGATATGGAAATTGATCTTCTTCATCGTATAGCTAATTGTTATCAAAATAGTCCGGATTTACGACTTACTTGGCTACAAAATATGGCTCAAAAGCATTTAGCGGTAATGAAATAAATCATTGATAAGTCGAAGTGATTATCTTGTCCTTCATTGATGACATTTTTTTTGTTAAAGTAAAAAATATGTTATGGACCGAATCCCTAGTAAATGACTGGATATGAAAGTAATCTATCCCTTAATACCATATTATTATCTTCAGTAGAGATGCCAAACCATATTTATTATCACTTGATGAGAAATCTCATATGGAGAATCCTAAAAACATTCTTCCCATCTGTGGTTACACTAATGATGCATGATAGAATAATCCTCTATTTACCCAATATAGATACTTCGTGACATCCATTAACAAAATGATCAAAATAATAAAACTCAATATTCTGTTCATTTCAACAGAATAAAAATAGAATTTACATTAAAGAAGCAGAAGAAGAAGAAGAAGAAAAGTCAGGGACAGACCCGTCAATATTAGGAAAATATATATTTATTTATCAAACGATAGTGTTTATATTAGCTTAATTCTATTTATATAGTCTGCAAGAATGAAGAAAATAATTCTACTGTTTTTATTAAAACAAGACTCTAATAGAACCCCTATTCGTTTCTTTTGCGATGCATACGCGTATATATTAAATATCAAGGATATACATATTTTTTTCTTAACACTAGAATCACAATTATACTACAAGTATAATGTAAAAAGACACTGCTCACCATAAGGATTCGTCTCATTACTAGTTTATTTTTATAATTAAGCATAACCGTACAAAGTGTTTGCTATTGATTTTAAAAATCATAAGATGAATCAAAATAAAATACTGATAAGAGAAAAAAAAAGAACAATTTCATTTTTCTTTTCATTTATTAAGATGAACCATTATGCAGAAGCTGGAATGTGTTTAGCACATGCAGCTAGTCTTGTTGCTGAATATCTTCGTATGCTTGAATCAAAACCATACATGCCTGATGGTTGTGTTGCTCTACAAGTTTGTTTAAATTAACAAAACAAAAAGAAAATATCAAGAAAAAACTTCATTTGATTCATCTTTAGAAAATTTCAATGAATTTATTAGAAGAAAGTGCTGTTAGTGATGATGTTGTATCACCAGGAGATGAAGGTATTTGTACTGGAAAGTATTTTACAGAAAATGGTTTTATTGGTCTAATGGAACAAGCAGCAGTTTTTCTTACACATGTTTGTTGACAATTTTTCTTTTTTAAGTTTCTCTATTTATTGATTTTCTAAAGGCACATATGTACGAAGCAGTTAACAATATTTATCATGTATTAACACCAATTTATGAAGCCAATAGAGATTTTAAAAAGCTATCTCAAGTACATAGTAAGCTACATGAATATTTCAATCGAATACTTATTCAAGTAATATATATACATATATATATATTCAGTGTAATTTTTAAATTGAAATATTCTCTTCTCTATAAGGGCAATAAACGGTTATTCGGAACATATTTTCGTGTGGGATTTTACGGAACAAAATTCGATGAACTTGATGGACAAGAATTTATTTATAAAGAACCAGGAATAACAAAATTAGCCGAGATAGCTTCTCGACTTGAAGTATGCTGATTAGAAGTTGTTGTGTTATTTATGTTTAGTATTTTATTTTCTTCTTTTTCTTTAGTCATTTTATATTGATATATTTGGTAAATCTCAAGTTGAAATGATCAAAGATTCCAATGATGTCAACCGTGCGTCACTTGATTTAGCCAATAAGGTAAAATACACATATATTTATGTATGTGTGCGTATATTAAAAAGAAGAAAAAATATAGAAGTAAAACCATCGATCATCACCATCATCTTGCACAAGAAAAAAAAGAACGCGCATACACACACATTAGAAAAACGCACTCTGAATTGAAAAAAAAAGACAAAGCGAGCAATAAAGAAACGAGATAGAGTTAGCAAGAAAGGAGAAAATGACAAAAAAAATTTCAAACATTAGGCACTGGTTGATATTTCGGGTCTTTTGGTACGCCTTTAGTTTCTGCTGCTTTTGTTGTAGTTGCACCAGCCGTTGATTTCTTATTTTTCTTAAATTTCTTACCGAGAACTAAAAACAGTAGGACAAGAATGATGGCAAGAATGCATAATGCAATGAGACCAACAATTAACATCCTCTCCGTAGACCATCCTAGAAAAATAATTGAAAAAAATTTATCAATGGTTTAAAAAAATTTGATATCATCTTTCGTCGAATAAAAAACAATATTTCTTTATGATAACGGTTCTTTTTTTCGCAATGGTTGCGGTTCTTCATTAAATGAGTCATCAATCTGTACGAAGATTGGTCATGACAATATTGAAAGTAAAAACCACATTTTCAAACGAGACTATTCAAAGAGTAAATTTTAACATTTTTTTTTCGTTAAAATTTGTTTTTCAAGATAATATTATATGCTTGGTTTAAGCAAAAAAGCCTAGAGCACTTTCCTTTTGTGTGCACTCATTTATTCGTCGAGTTTTTTTACTCTTTTCTGTTTTTTTTTTGTTAACATTGTTTTAAATTACGTATTCGATGGAAGAACAGATAAGAAAAAGACATATACGGACAGAACATTTTTTGTTGCGTTCTGTCTCGTCTCTCAAGGTTTGTCGACTTGTAACTAAGAGAGAAAAACGACAAGCGTAAGTCAATTGAAAAATGAGCTCATGAAATTGTTGGTTATACAGTATGTGGCCTTGTCGTTGACGTTCTTTTAGACATGAGTTTCTTCTCCTAATCGACTATTATCTTTGTATAACTCATTCTTCTGCGATATGTAAACAGAATTGGTAACGCAGACCTTGTATATATCGCCAGATTCTTTGTCTTCTTCTCTTCTTGCTCTATCTTTCTTCTTTCTTTTCTGTTATCGGTAACTGGCTATTTTTGCTTACTGCAATGACGTACCAACATTTACATACATTCATATGCCTATATTTCTTTTTTTCCTTCCTGTTCCAAGTTTTGTCTTATTTATTTTACTTGATAAACTTACCCCACCATCGTTTACCACCAGTAATAGCAGTGGTTTCAGTGGTCAATTCATCAAAAATTGTTGAAGAATAATCATTGATCGCTTCAATCATTGCTGTTGTTTTTGATGGCACAACATTACCCTGCATATCTGCTATAACTGTATCAACGAAACTGGGTGATGTTGACACACCTTCGGGTTGTTCATTAACAGCTAAATTAACGATGTAGTCTTCAATGGGTTCTTCAGCGTAGTCATCTGCTACAATCGGTTTAATTTCTTCAACGGCAGCTATTATTGTTGAGTCCTCATAATCAGACATGTCTTTGTCTTCACCACCTTCATTTCTTTCATTTGATGAGGCTTGATCTTCAGCCATAGCGTAAGACGGATGACGGCAACAATAAACAGTACGGAAAGCAGATCTAAAAGGAATTCGAAAGAAAAGAAAAAAACCGCATATACGACAGTATTCTTGTACATATCAATGAGAGAAGGAAGGGACAAAAGAAAAAAATATCCGCATCAAGATAATATAATCATTGGAGAATAGTTCTATGTTATGATAAATATGCTAGCAAGCTTTAGATCTTGGAAGTATGCCTACGCAACAAAAAATAATAAAATAAAGACCTTTTTCTCTTTTTTCTCTCGTTCTATCTTATTATCTCATGCAGGTATGCCACTGCATACGTCATCAACTATAGACATAAACAGAACAATGATGATGATCTAGTTCAGGCCATAGATCGATTTTGATTAGCTTATAAAACGATAATAAATGGAAATTCATTTTAAAAAAGAAGAAAAAGAAACAAAAACAGAAACAAATAATCAATTCAAAGTCATGTAATCAATATGAAATTGGAGTGCTACTTGTACTTTTCATTATCATATTTCCACTAACCTGACTGTAGATCAGTAAATGTAGTCAATATGCGTGACTGAATGTATGCATTTAGTATATGTGTTATTATCTGCATCACGTACAGAAAAAGCAACGCAATGAAAGAAAAAGGACGGATTTTTGTGCGCCATACGACGACGGCGATGGCAACCAGGGAACGATATTTTTTTTAAATAAATCGTCTCCATCCATGTCTTTTCCTTCTCGCTTTTTTTTTCGTGTGTATTTATGAGTATGCGCGCGCCCTGCTCTACAATCGTCACCATCATTACTATTATTATTTACTTCAAAAGCAAGAGCTGTGTTTTTTTGCAAGCTACGTATCAAATCATTGTACAGAGACATGTAACGAAAATGCAAGAGCCTTCAAAAAGAAAGGAAAAAGAAAGAATGCCGATGCGAAAAACATGAAATGAAGAAAAAAAAGAGAAGACACAAACAAGCGTTGTTTTTGAATTCATATGCAAGTTACCTTTTGCTTGTTCTATGCATTCTCTTATTATTTTTTAACGATACACTGTGTTTTTTTACGATGTTTTCCTCATGGAAATAAAGAAAAAACACATTCAAGTCGAATAAAAGCAAAAAAAAAGACATTGAAAAAGGCATCTGCTATCTCTTTTCTTCGTGTCATCGACAATGTTATGCATAAATTATATCACCTCTCTTTCTCTCTTTTCTCCATTTCTTATTTACGATAAATTTATCTAGCCTAAATATAGATTAAACCATAATCATCACTATGTAGAAAGCGCAGAACAAAAATATTATATATATATATATGTACATTAATATGTTCGTATGCATAAGTATATATATATATATATATATATACATAGTTTTGGTAGTGTCCACCTGGTTCTGTTTTACTTCTCCTTTGCTTTCATTTATATATATATATATATACGAGAAGACTCAGGTGCACACAAGCCTATTAAGAATAATGATTAATAGAACAATAATTGTGTGTAGGAGAATCTGTATATTATTCATTTTTCTTTTATTCTTCACATTTTTTGCTGCGACTCGCTGCTTTCTTTTTTATATGGCCTTACCTGTACTTTGTAGGTGATTCGAATGTAAAAAAAAAACCAATACGACTACGAATGAAATAGACAATGAAAGAACGAAAAAGAAAAAAGAGAAGCAGAGACAAGGAGAAATAATACAAAAAGAAAAAAAGGAAAATAAAAACTAAGTCTTAGACCAATATAAACTAGACGCATAGAGATTTAGAAGTAGATGCACAGTAATGAAGAATCATCAAGATGAATGATGGGAAATATGACTGTGGCACATAGCATAACGAAGAAAAGCAGTAACAGCAGCAGCACATTACTATTACTGGTATAAATTAGCCATTTGTGGCTTATTTATTGTTTTCCAGCACGGTGCCTTTCCATTTTTTCTTCTTTCTGTCAAGTACGAATCCTTGTTGTTAGGTATTGAATGATGCGTCCTATAGGATGCCCGAGATTTTTGTTGTTGTTATTCTGATGGGGTTAGATACTGCTTGCTTGTACATACAACATCATCAATTCCGCTTGATATCGCGCCTGTGCAGAGAGACGACGAGTGAAGGCCATCATTATTATCATCAATGGCAGCAACGATGATGACGACAACTATGATCGCAGTTTTTCTTTTGCTTTCGTATCCTTGCTAAAGCAACAGGAGCAAGAAACAAGTAAAAGAGAATAACTTAACAAACGAAGCGACCAAATCAATAACAAACCATTGAAGCACTGAAGCATCATCGAGCGTCAGATGCTGTTGAAAACCGAGGCATAGAAACAATTATAGGATAGGACAATAAAGATTACTTTCTCATATGCTGCAATCTCATGATCACTATATTATATTAAGCGTCAAGAAGAAGAAAAAAAAAGGAAAGAGTATTAAACTGATAGATAGAAAATCTATTTTATATTTACCTTAACCATTTTCTCTTAGGGTTGTTTCAAGTAATCTAACTGAAATAAAAAGGACGGAATAAACATAAAACACCATCTGGCTATGAATCGATTTCTAAGAGCTAAGTGCTTTTTAACGATTTAGAAGGTTGTATGATGTACGAATGAGAGAAGGTCTCTAGAATGATTCTCTTTTTTTTCTTTTTCGTATTGTGGTTTTATTCTTTGTTTTTTTTTATTTTTTTTCTTCCTCTTTTTTCTTCTCTCGGTTGTTTTTTTCCTATTTCTAATCGACCAACCGCGGAGAAGTTGGGATTTTGGGACAGAGTCAGCTATGCTAAGTTTCATTTATTGTTTAATAAACCTGTGTAAATTTGCCATTTCACATCGGCGTATGGATATGGTCAATAAAAACATTTAAAAAGAAAAACATCTGAAAACTTTACTCATTTTTGTGATTGTTATTTGTGATGTTTATAAATACTTAACCTAACAAATACCTTTATTCACTTAAAGATTTTTCTTTGCGTGCCAAAGATTAAAAGTCGTTCATTCCCTTGATGTTCTAGAAAAGGAAATTTGCCGATTTATATTGCCTATGGCTAAATGATGTAGAACATGCTAAATGTCATGGTTATGGCGATAATCGAAGCAAGATTTTGTCATATATTACTTTTATCTCGTTTGTTCTTCTTTATCTGCGAACTAGACATCATTAATTATTTCTAAATTTATTTAATAACATGTTTTAGAAACGATAGAAAATGAGTCACAGAAAAATAGAACTCTTGAAACCTGCTTCTTTCTTTTATAATGGTTTTTTCTTTTTGTGCAAATTCAATAATAGAAGTCGACCAGTGGAAAAAAGTTATATAGTAAAAAAATTCTGGACGGCATCGCCGATAAGTGTCTAGATGAATGATCTAAAATGGTCTAGTATTACTTTTTTTAATGGGCTATTCTAAAAAAATACAGATTTGTTTATGTAACACTTAGCCTTTTCTTGATCTAGCGTTGATAGTCAATAACAAATGAATTAGATAATACATCATCATTCGATTAGTAGATAATCATTTTTACATATTGTTGCAATTATTTACAAGATTATTCATTTTGTTTATGTTACAATCAAGATTTGATAGAAAATTCTCTGTCATTTCGTTTTATTTTCAAATTCAACCGATTTTCTCTATTAGTTATCATGTTCCAATATGTTATCGTGCTTTGTTCTTGTCTATCAAAGATAAGAAGAAGAAAACAAGAAATGAGCTTTCAATGCTTGATGATAATGTCCATGCATAGAATCCTATGAAGTAACAATGAATGATTAACACTTTCAGTATATAGAAGAGAGCGAAACTTCAAAGCAATGTAACGCCAATCGAAAATGATATTCTTATCATGTATTAGTAGCCTTAAAAGAGATCATAAAAAATTTCTTGTCAGTTTTTTTCACTTTTCTAATTATTTATTTTCTCACAAAAAAAAGATCTACGTTCAAGTGACTTATGTCGAACCATATTTTGATACATCTGAATTACAACATCGACCAACACATTTCGATCGAAATTATAATCTTAGTAAATTTCAATTTTTTTTCTTAACAAAGCAACAAAAAAACAATTTTTCTAATTAATTTAGAACGGTTCATGTATGCATCACCATTTACCATGGATACAAATCGTGCACATGGTTCATTACATGAACAATATAAACGTAAAACAATTTTAACTATTGAACGTGCTTTTCCATATGTTAAAACACGTGTTGGAATAATCGATCGTGAACGCTTAATTCTAAGTCCGATTGAGGTTGCTATAGAGGATTTACAAAAAAAAACCGACGAATTACGTATGGCTATACAACAAGAACCAGCTGATCCGAAAATTCTTCAAATGGTTATACAAGGTTGCATAAGTACTGCTGTTCATCAAGGTCCATTAGAAGTAGCAAATATATTTTTAAATCCAATTATGAATGGATTAGAATTACCAAATATACATCACAATCGTCTGAGATTATGTTTTAAAGAATTTACTCGAAGGTATTTTCAATCAGCAAACAAAAGATTATCGTTTCTTTCTATTCTTATTTTCCCTTTATATTAGACTGGCTGAAGCATTAAAACGGAATAAAACATTAATTCAAGCTGATCAACGTGAATATCAAAAGGATCTGGAAAATAAATTTACAAAATTTACGGAAAGTCTTCAACCACTTTTATTAGCATGTAAACAATCAACTATTATTGAAACAACCTTGACAAATAATAAGAGGTATAATAATGTATATTCAAGTAGATTTCACTCGAAAAATAATTTCATACAAATTATTTTCAGAAACAAATGTCAATTTCAATTAGTTACTCTAGGTTTTTTAATTGAATAAAAAGAAAACTTTATACTTACAAATGCTTCTAATGCTAAATGATTGATGTTTCCCTTTTTTTCTTTCATTTTTTCTATTTTGCTTTTGCTTTTGAATTAACTTCCAGAACAAATTATTTCTATTTTAACTAACAAATTATTTATTTCATTCCTTTTAGTGTGAAAAAAATTC